CACGCCTCGAAACCGGTTCACGCAGGAACACTGTATGCAAGCCATGTGAAGGCAGAGGGTATCGGAAGATGCGCGAGCACCGTACCAGTCACGATTCTGACTTCGAGGCGATTAGGGACCTTGCCCCTTCGTCAAACCTTTCGTCGAAGCTCTCCCCTAGGGACTCCAGCACTTGAGAATCGCTCCAGCCGCGTGCGATCGTCAAACTCCCATCTCCTCCGCCGATTATATTGATCCTGATTGGCGACCCCACGACCCCGTCCTCCTGCGTGAACGCCATATCCGCTATGGCCCATGCGGATTCCCCGAGACTAGGTATATGGCTCATTGAGAAAACACCCAAGTTGGCCAGCGAGAGCCCGCCTTCGCGCTCTTTGTGCAACTTGCCCTTGAAGAACTTCCTGTACCCACCGACGAGCGCGACAAAGTGCAGGCTCGCGATACTCGAGAGGCTCTTGTCGCGTGACGTGCGGAGCTTAGCGGAGAGGTCCCTAGCGGCCTGCCAGAATACATTCTCGAACATGAACGGGTCGTCCATCGAGTGCGCCTCAGGGATTGGGCAAATGAAGGGGTAGATAGAGACGTGGTCGCAGAACGCGGTGGGCGGCTGGTTCGTGAGTGGACGCAGGGACGTGGGGATTTGGAACGGAACAGAGTCGTACTTTCCGGAGAGGTTAAGGGGTGTGAGGACGCGCGCGAGCGCCTGCGCAGCGACGACGTGGAGCGCGCCTGTAATCGTTGTGCTGTGGGATCGGGAGAGAGCGGCGAGGGTTTGCGCGTCGGCGTGGCTATAGGAAAACATACGGGCGTATGCCTTCTGCCATGGGCTCCGCGGCACGACAGTGTTGCCTCTCCATGTATTTGGCGAACGGGAGTGCGGGAATACTATGTGCAAAAGCTGTTTGAAAGAGACTGAGACCTTGGTCAGTTTCTCGACTGGGGGGGGACCAGGCTGACGGTCGCCGGTATATCTACGATTGGGCTTGCCAACTCTGACTTTCACTGGGACTCGACGGAGGTGGCGCGGAGGGCCTCTAGCAGGCAAAGGTGGAAGGCACGACCGCTGAGGCCGTCGCCGATGCCGTGCTGGTAGGCAAAGACGACTGTGTTGTCCTACAGCACTGTCAGTCGCCAGAGGGGCCTGTCTGTTGCGTTGATGTCAAAGGGCACGGCTATCTACTGCTCGAGGACGTCCTGCAGCGAGGTTGGGTCGTGCGTGAACTGCACGACCTTGTCGAGGTTGATGCTGTGCAGAGGGACAAAGCCGGGCTTCTTGAACGCGGAGGGGGAGTATGCGACACAGACGCATAGGGCACCGGTGGATTTGATGAGTTTGGCGAGAGCGGGGTAGAGGACGGACGGTGCCAGAGTCTGGAATGGCGCGTCCGCTGGGAAGACGTAGCGCGCCGAGACCACTACGCAATTGTCCATGTCCAGAGCTGTCCTGGTAATGTGAAAGGGCTCCAGTATGCCTGATATTCCGTTCAGGATAGCAATTGCCACGCGAGCAAGTTGTATACTCGCCTGCCTTCCTGACCACATCCTTGTTGATTAGTAACGGTGACATATTCAAGCTGTCCACGGTTGACGAGAATGGCGGATATCAAACTCGGATTGTGAGGGATTATATATTGATGGGAAGTCATACGCAGCGTCGCATCAACCAGCCAATGCAGATCATGACTAGTAGTAGACTACTAGTACTAGTACTATAGTATGTAGTACTGCGGCGGATGGAAGGGCCGGTGGCGATAGTCAAGCCAGATGGTGAAGCCAGGACGCACTCTCATTGGCTCGCGCATACGTGTTAGCTATATAGGTGGCCTTCAGTTGATGGAAGGTGAAGCTCGCTCGGACAGTCTGTGCCTACGACGTCGTGACTCCATATCTTCGGCTCAACGAATCGATATGTAACGCAGCTGCGAGTAGGCAGCTGACGCTCAACAAATCGAGTTTGTCAAGATATGCAAAGTCCTTGTGAATGATTGCCTATGTAAGATGCACTCTAATAAACATGACGATAGAAGCACATGGAGGAATGCGATGGCGTAACGAATGCGATAGGTGTACAAGAAAGAGAACAAAAATACCGTACATAAGGCATGTCTTGAATCTACTATGATAGGTGGAAACTCCCCACACCCTCTCTCATAGCAATAAGCAGCTTCTCCCGCATGATAGCCTTGGTCGTGTAGTCGGGCAACTTGAGATAATTTACGCAAGTCATAACACTCGGCAGATAGTCGTCGGCCGTCAGTGGAGCTTCGTGCGGCTTCCTCACTACGGTAAGCGGAGGATTGAGACCGCGGAATCCTGAAGGCAGCCAGTGTCAGACAGGTCGAGACAGACGGCAACGGCAAAAAACTTACCACCTATGGGTAGCTTTGGACTACCAGTGATGAACTGGAGGTATTCTCGACGACTTGGGGCATCGAACTCTGACATGATCTCGAGTAGATTGCGGATAGCCCGACTCTCGACGTTGAAGCCATGATCAGCCTTCAGCGCCTCACTCAAAGCTACGGACACGGTGTCAGCACTTGAAGACCTTTGCTAGAAAGCACAACTTACTTTCGATACTCCAGTCCTCATCGGAGTTTCCAAAGAGCATCACCAATTCGTCGGCAGAGAAGGCCTGCAAATCGGATATGGGGAACACCTTCGAAAATCCATCTCGCAGGGCTTTAGCTTGGCGCTGGACGCCTTTACCGATGATAGCATCAATGACGGCCTCGATGTAATCCTCCACATTGTCAGAGGTAACAGGAATCTCCCTGCCACCAGGCTGAAATCATTGACTTAGTCTCGGTCGAGAGATTCCAGGGGGAGATTCACTTACTCGCAACTCGATGTCATAACCGGGAACCGTGAAGTCAAGAGCGAGGTCTTCTACGCTCACAGATTCCTGAACGAGTTTCTGCTTGATACAGAGTACCCGTGTTAGACAATTATACAAGCAAGAGGGGCAAAATCCCTACCTTGCTTCCGGCTGACGATGCTAAACTACGTAGTTTGATCAATGACTGGGCCAATTCAACGTCAACGTGCTACATATGGTTGCTTAATCAACTCTATCAGCGATACTGCAGGGTACAAACTCACCTTCAATGATTCAACGGTCAGCGGAACATGCTCTCCGAGCACGAGCTTAACAAAGATCTTGTTGAACGACAAGTCTATGATCCGAGAGTCTAACATAGCCTTGGCTACAAACTGCCCAATCACGCGGAAGATGTGGGTACGTTTCCTACCGAATCGATGAGACTCCACACCACCAGAGTAACATATGTGCACTTACTGTCCTCCATCGTTTGCGATATCGTCTGAGCTGATGGGAGCAGGGAATAATCCACTGGGGTGGTGAACATAAACGCCAGGGTTTGTTGGGTCCTCATCACGCCATATTTTTAGGTCTCGCCTTGCAAACTCCTTAGACACGAGCGAGTAGAACTCTAGAGTCGGTCCGAGACCCGTGCCAACTTCCTCAAAGTATTCGACTTCTAGGATGGAAGAAGAGGACCCGTAAAGCTCGAAAACTTTGACCGCAGACTCCAAGATATGTTTGCGGGAGATCCTGACTTTCTGACGCTGTAGCCGTCCTAAGAAAGCGATGCTATCGTCTCGCCTAGAGCTGTCCTGGCCGCGACTCTGTTGGGTTTGCCATTTCAGAATAAGACGCGCGTAACCGAACGATGTCGACTGCAAGAAATTGTAACGAGTGGCGAAGGGGAAAAGGAAAGGGAAATGCACAGGGAGGTCCAGCGCCCAGTCAGGTAAGCATGAACTAGCCACGATCATGGGCTCCTCTAGTTGACGAGTCAATTTTGCTGTCAGCTTGTTGTTGACGAAAGACGATTCAGGGAGGGAGCGCCTGGGCCCGTCGTATCTGGATCGCTCAGCTTCGGAAGCATTTAGCTGATGTAGCACGCGCAGAAGCCTCAGAATGTTGGTATGGGGTGCATCCTCAGGAAGCGAAGAGAGAGTTGGACTTGACGAGCGACTCTTCGACGACAGATCACCGTCGCCTCGAGATTCATTCGAGGGTAAAGGTCCAGGGACTTTCTTGAACTTCACAGTGTATATGCCTTGCCATACAAGACTGGGTGGGACGGCCGGCCCTGATTTCTTACGCACCTCATGTTGATGGATCGCACCGTAGATAGTGAGGTCCAACGGGAGAGGGTGATCATCCATTGAGAACTCCAAGTGCCAGTCGGTGGGTTTAGTCTTCAGTGCAGCAGCATATGACCTGGTACTCGGAGCTCCTCTTGAAACAGATGTTGGAATAGGCTCCTTGGCTGGGTTGGGCGTAGCTATCCGGGTGCCTTCTGGGGTTTGCGCCTCTACCTTGGAACCATCCCCTGAAACAGAGAGGGTGACAGTCTTCTCTTCGGAGACTGTGTGCTCCTCGTCCATCTCCTCGTCAAAGACTTCGGCGTCAACCTCGTCATCAGTAAAGTCTGCAGCAAACTCATCCTCCTCATTTACAAGCGTCTCACTAGGAGCTGGCTCCCCCGCAGAAGACGCTGCAGTCGCAGACGCTTGTGATACGGGAGGCTCTGAGGGCGCCGTCGATTCTGCAGCGCCTGAGTCCGACACAGCATCCGCCGCGCCACTCTCAGCCGCGGCAGCGGCGCCCTGCTTCTTAGCACTAAGACGCAAGCTTCGCCGACGACCTACGGCAGCTTCAGCGGACGCTTGGTCCGTCGAAGACGAAGCAGGGGCAGGATCACGTGTGGACGATGCTTCTGGGAGCCGAGGAGCCCTGGGCTCGGCCGCGAGCGACCGGCCAGCGAAACCAGGCGAAAGACCAGAGGCAGCTAAAGCAGCAAGCATCCCTGACAATCGAGACCCGCCTCCCATAATGCCGGCAACACGAGGCCGAAGGTAATCGTGCAGAGCCTGGAATGTAGCTATTGCGTGGATTGAAACTACAATGTTATTGAGGTTCCGAGGAATATCTGAGTCTTCCGCAGCCACCAGACGCAGACGTAATTGCCGAGCCAGGAGGGACGGGGAACTACGTTTCGAATCTACAGATACCCGTTTGTCAGTGGCGTCGAAGACATGCTGAAGAAAGTCCACGCGCACCATCGATACCCTGAGAAACAGTAGTGACTTCAAAGGGCTCCATCCGCGTAAGGCATTCCTGCAGCTTCTTCACCAGCACGGTGAGCGGTGCGGACGTAGAAGACGCAGCTTTGCTATCCGATAGAGAGAACGCCCTGAACAGCAGCTCACGGCGCCGCGAGGTGCTCACTGGAACACTATATGAGTACTTAATTATTTCACGATCGACTGGGCTCTTACCACTTCGACCTTCCTCTGTCGCAAAAGCTAGCAAGCCATCAACTACCCCGCTTTGAAGTAGTTCAAAGCTAGATACAGATGACTTGGGCGAAATGAATAGATGCGCAAGCTCCTCAAGGATGGTGGTGAGTTCGGTCTCCGAAGCGTCGCTACTTGACAAACGAGCCACGAAACGACGAAGGTTAGCAAGGACGTTATCACCCGCTTCGTCTGCGCCCGAGCTCAGGTACTTGAAGCGTAAAACCCGAGCCCGCAGCGTGATAGCATCTTCAGGGTCGAGAGAAAGCGACGATAGCTTCTTATAACCAGGGATGGAAGAGACGAGAGCAGCGGGCATATGCATCGGCGGAGGCGCTGGAGCATCGACCAAGGGGGTATCAGATACTTCCTTCTCCTTGTCTTTGTCCTTATCCTTTGACTTCGCCGGCGAAATCAAATTACGGGAGGCCAGAGCCTCAATTTCGTGGAAGACACCCTCCCTTCTGAAGGCCGGCCGATACTCTCCGGGGAGCTTGACCAGAAGCAACTCGATCAGTTGCAAGGCCGCGATCACAAGCGTCGGGTGATCCCTGGCAGAGAGCACTGATGAGGAGAAGCTGGCTATTGGGACGGACTACGGCGAATTGGTCAATGTCAGGCTACGGATAGCAGTAAGTCAAGCCTACCGTCAGGACAGCCCTCAGCTCGGTCTCGTCAAGGAAGCTGACAGCTTTGAGTAAGCCAGTCAACGTCTTGATTCGGACAGACGGGCTGACACTCGCAGCGTAGATGTCGACAAGGACGGGAACAATCAGCTCCATGAAACGTCCAACAACAACAGGTTTGGAGCGTAACAGCTCCGTCCGGTCGGGAACAGGTTCCTTGGCTGGAGGTGCCGCACTTCCACCATCCTCACCATCCTGAACGTCCATCGGGGTTGCATCCCCCGCTGGATGGTCCTCGGCTGCCGGCGTGACAGGGCCCGATCCGCTCGGAGTGGATAAACCGACAATAGCGTTCAGCGTTGCTTGTGCTTGCTGACGAGCTGCCGCTCGTTCGGCCTTAGCTTTCGCCTTTACCATCCTAGCCAACGACTTCTCTGTATATCCTTTGTGGTCAAAGACACCGTCTGCATGAGGCATAAGCATTCCACATATTAACAATACCGAAGATAACCGGGACACTCACCTTTGGGTAAGGGCGGCATCAATTCCGACACGAGACTGAGTGCTTCCTCGACCTGCTCCTTCGGCCTGTGAGCAAGGTTTTGCATAACTGTCATGTCTGCGACGCCTCCGCCAAGACCCTGTCCACTGCTTGCGTTCCCCTGTTCATCACTCTGATGTGTCGAGGGGAGTACGCCAGTCAATATCTGATACAACGTATCTACGATGTCGGCTTCCAGTAAAGCTACAGCGATCTTGGGACTTGATCGAGCCGAGGTTGCCAAAGCGCGAAGCAAGAGCGTGAACGTGTTTGGTGCGATCAAGGGAGATCCACCAGCAGGCAACAGTAACAGGTTGACAGCTTTGATGAGTTCAGTGTCGACGAGTGCCTCGAGATTCTCTGGGAAAGAACGGTAGTACGAGTCGATGACGCGGATGACGCAGAGACAGGCGAACTCGACTAGACGCTGGTCGGAGTACGACAAGCAGTTTCGTATGATGGGCCAAACACCGCGGATCATAGGGAAGTGTTCGGGTGAAATATTCCGACAGCAGTTGGATGCAGCTTGCAAAGCGGTCCGCTGGACGGCAATTGAAAAGAAGTCAAGATAGTTCAGAAGTGCAGCCAGACCACCCTCGCGAACGATTGAACTGGGAAATTCCTCCGATATCTTCTCCAGAGTCTGTGCACACAAATGAGAAAGTGACGTGAAAATGGGAAGAAATAGTACTCACACTCAACGTCTGCTCGGCCAGGTCGATGTAAGATATCTCGATCAACTTGCTACAGAGCACAGGTATTGCCCCGTGGTAAACGACAGTGTGAGCGACACCAGGTAAGGCTTCCATCAGATTCGCCAGGCATCGGCATGCCAGCACTTGGGCCTCCAGATTCTCATCGCCTTGGAAAGTCGAGCCCCCAGTGCTCATAGCTAGGGCAGCTGCGAGCGCGGCGTCTTCATCCTGGTCGTCCCTGTCTTCATTCCCATCCTCATCGTCTTCATCGTTGCCAGAGCCACCTAGAATCCTAACCAGGGCAGCCACGTACTGTTCCACCTGGAATGAGCCAGCCAGAGTATCTTCTGTGCTGATACTGAGAAGCTCGCTGAGTTCCTGCAAGGTTACGAGACGCGTGGTGGGATCAGCAGTCATCTTGATGTTGTTCAGCATGGTCTTTAGCCGTGAGGATAAGCCCATCATGTACGAGCCGAAACCTCTGAAGTCGCCAAAGATCGCCATTGCCGCGGACTCGTCCAGACCTCCTGGGCCACGGCTATCGTCTCTCGGGAGCTCGCCTTCATCGTCTTCTCCACCAGGCTCTTCTACATCCGGTTCGCAGTGGTCGTCACCACTCTCCTGGTGTTCGTCGTCCTCTTCATGGTCTTCCTGCATATGGTCATCGTACTCAGAGTTCTCTCGCTTGAGCTCTGCACTCATCATCTCCACATCCTCGTCCTCCGCACGCGAGGAGCTTGCTACGGCCATAGCTTTCGACTTTGTGGGTGCCTTTCCCTTTGCGGTGAGAGATCGGCTGTAAAGGGAGGACGTAAGCAAAAGCCGAGTCGATGAGAAGCAACTCTCACCTCATCTTCTTGGGCATTTCGACGGGGGATGAAGTGCTGGAATCGGCTCTAGATCGTAAGGAGTATGCGCTAGTGGCTCGGAGACGTTTGCTCGGCGCAGACGCGGTCGCGGTGGAGGGTTCCTCCTCAAAATTACCTTCAGGTGCTGCGCGCTTCTTTCCCTTGGTATCCCGCTCGGGTTCGTTGATAGTTACTCCTGGGTTTGCAGTTGGGAACGTGGCACGACGAGCCCTGTCCGTGTGCATGGATGCGGTAAGTAACCAGGATGCTGGGAGCCACACAAAGACTCACTTCTTGTTTGCGCGCGCGGACGCTTCGTCAGCGGACTCTTTCGCTTTTCCCTTGCCGGTGCTGCGTTCTCGGGCACGCTTCAGTACGGAAGCACTATTACTAGCGCGCGTCGGCCGCGAGACGTCGGATGTAGCTGCAGAGGAAGACGACTGCTCGGTAGAATCGCGTTCCTTACCCTTCTCTTTCTCCTTCTGTTTTGCGGCCTTGACTCTGGCGCTGGACCGCACACCCCTCGGGATCTCGGATGACGAAGACGCTGGCTGTGGCTGAGTCGACTGCGAAGACGATGGACTGGCGCTGCTGATGGCTTCTGGGTGTTGCGTAGGTTGTAAGTCCATTTAGTGAACGCAGCCAGCCATCGATTGTGAATGTTGCACGTTCAGTACAAGTGCGGCCTGCGCCCTGGCGTGCTCAGTCTGCGCCGACTCTTGTACAAATGCGGCCACTTGTAAGGGTTGAGGGCCACGAGATTCGAGCGGAGATGCGCGCCGAGCGGGGGCATAACAATATCCATTTTGTGTGTATTTGTCAGCGAATTGTGGCACTCGCACAGCAGTCTGTCTACAGGTGCAACGCTACACCGAATATTCCTTCAATATCTCCTCGACGCTCTCGACAAAGACGTTCACTATCGTGTCGACCTGTTCTTTCGTGACGTTGTATGCAGGAGAAATAATGCAGTGATCGCCCTTCGTGCCTTCTATGTTCGCGCCGCCCGTCAGGCCCATAACAACGAGGCCCTTCTCAAGCGCTCTCGCCTGTACGAGCATCGCAAACTGATGGCCTCGGAAATCCACTCTTGCAGCCTCGGGGCCGGTAAAGTCGAACTCAATGCCCCAGAACGCGCCACTGCCGCGGATGTCGAACGTGAAAGGGGCGGCGGGCGCGTTCGGCGACTGCAGGCGCTCCCGTAGCAGACCTGAAAGGTACTCTCCCTGAGCTCGGCAGTTCTCGAGCAGGTTCTCCTTCTCGATAACCTTTTGCACAGCCAAGGAGGCGGCACATGCTAGTGGATTGGCCTGTCACAATGTTCAGCTTCGGTCCATTGAAATTTCATCGGTCCATCTACCTGATATGTGTGGCCGTGTTTCCAGAAGCCACTGTTGTCCCGCAAGCCATCCGCGACGCGCTTAGACATGAGGACTGCACCGATAGATGCATAGCTGTAAATGCAGTTCAGAAAACGTTAGTTAAGAGGGGTGCACTTTACTTACCCTCCTCCAAGTCCCTTCGCGACCGCTTGGATGTCGGGTGCGACGCCGTCACCAAAGCTTTCCCAGCCATGCAGGGTACCCATTCCTAATCCCCCCATTAGCTATTTGTCCGCGTAAGACGGCGAAATTTTACTCGCGTCCCATGCCGCTCATCACTTCATCCAGAATAAACAAAGCGCCGTACTTCTCGCATACCGACTTCATCGCTTTGAAGTAGCCTTTCGGCGCAGGTACAACCCCAGTGGTAGCCCCAACTACCGTCTCTGCAGCAACTTGAGAAGAGTAAACACCGCAATGGAATCCGCTTTATTACACCACTCACATGCAACTACGGTGTCCGGGCCCAGCTCAAGGAACTTATCCTCGAGCTCTTGCCTCAGTCTTTCGACGTATTGTTCCTCGGTCTCGTCAGGCTTCTGAAACCGTTTCGCATATGCCGGAGAAACATGGTGGAATCTCTCGTGGTTTATTATGGCGTCGTATGGTGCCCTACGCGTGGGGTGGTACCCAAGAGACAAAGTCGTGACCGTGTTCCCGTGGAAAGACAAGTGCCGACCGATGAAGTTCTTCCGCTTCGGTTGCTTTGTCTCGTAGAAATACTGTGCACGACAGTTTAGACAATTTAAGTCCAGATACACAATCGATCATGTTGCTCACTTGCTGGGCCAATTTGATGGCGCCTTCCATGGCCTCGGAACCTAAGAACGTGACATCCTCAGCTTCTCGTCACCGATCCAGCGGTTGCCACGGACCTCCAGAAACAAATCCGCAGAGTTCGAACGCTCCCTTGCCAGAATCGATCAAGAATCTTGCCAATGCCTCAGCCGGTTCATTCGATAGCTGCATGTTGTACACATCTGGGGGATCGGTCAGAAGGCATCTTTGGCAACAGGAAAAAGGACGTACAGGACATCTTGTCGACCTGCTCTTTCAGAGCTTTCTTGACCTCAGGATGGCCATTCCCAATGCACGCAACTGCCGCGCCTCCCACCGCGTCCAGGACTGTCCTACCATCTTCCAGGGTGACATACAGTCCGTCGGCAGCGACCGCTACAGGAGGCCTCCAGGGCGTCCTATGCAGAATAGCAGTAGCCCTCACCGACGGGGTATCCTCATGCTTGATGTTCGCGTTGTCGGGCAGAGGCTCAGGGATGGTCAACGCTGGGGCCATGGTGGTACAGATGAAGCGATAACAGACCGGGACAGAACCCGGCTGATAAGGCGATCATAGGGCTGGGCAATGGTGACATACAACGCCCCTGTTACTATATAGACCTGCCATTAATATTGGGGAAGGACCGAAGGGAGTGATACGTACACGGGAACTGTACGGAGGCGCGCAAGGAATCCATACTCTCACGCCACAGTCGTGTTTCATTCAGTCAGATTCAAACATTTCTCTGAATTTATCTGCTATCGCTGTATTCCTCCGGGCGATATGGCTGCCTCGAAGAAGAGGAGGACAAGTGAAGCGCCTCAGTCGACCACCCTGCACAATTTCTTCGGTCGGCGGTCGGCCGTTCAATCCAAGAAGCCACAAACCAAGCCGTCAAAGCCGAAGTTGTCCGAACCGAAAGCTAAAGGGAAGCAGAAGGAGCGACCCCCTCCCGAGGATATCATTGTCATAGACTCGGATTCAGATGTTGAGTTATGCGAGGTCACTCAGATACCAAGAGCGCAGCCGACCACATCAGCCAGAGGGCGCGATGTACTTGCGGAAGAGAATAGCGGTGGCGGCAAGAGAGTCAAGCGATCCAGGTCTCCATCCATATCTTTCGTAAACGAGGAAGAAAGACCTGCTACCAGTGCCTCTCTCACTGTGCCTCTGACGTCGCATACGCGCGGTGGCTCGCCTTTTGGCACGCCAATACTTCTGCTTGGCATCTCCAGCCCAACCTCCTCCGCTCCGGCTTCGTCGGACGTTCCCCCCTTCACAAATTCCGCGACTTACGCCTCAGTGACAGACAGCTCATCTAATGAATGCTCTTTGACCATGTCTGGGTCGTCTTTCGGAACGCCATCCGTTCTGACTACCCGTTGTAAATCCTGTGGCAATCGCTCTCCCACTCGACGTAGTCCGCACCATTCGCCGGGCCCCGGCAGTTATACGCCATTTGGTTTCCCAGCTACTCTACTGCCTCCTTCGAGCCCTGCTTTGGGGAAGAGACTAGTTGAGGAACCAAGCGCGTCAGACATCAGGAGCCCCATCTCGCTGGTGGAAATCAATGCTCGATCAGCCTCCTCTGTGCCTTCTTCAGCTCTGCGGAATCGAAGTGAAGCTGACTGCCCGCCTGGCGTGCCACCGTGTAGTAGCACTTCGTCGGGGGTTGACCTCATTATGGATTACTTCGATATAAACGAAGAATGGGGCCTCGGCGACGACGAGGTGACCCTATTGGATCCAGATCCAGAAGAAGGCGACATTGACGACATGGAAGAGGTGGACGTTGAAATAGACGTAGACATGCCAAGTGAACCCTCTGCCCCTCTCCGGCCATTGTCTTCCCTGCGCACGCCACCAAACGTCCCATCGTCATCCAAACGTGATAAACCTAACCCCAAGCTCAGCTCTGATGCATTCTCGGTGCTCATGTCCTCCTACAAGGAGAACGAGGCCTGGAAAGAAGCGACGATCGCCGAAGACCGCAACTTCCGGCCTACCAAGCAGAACGGCGGGCGGCGGAAGGCCCCTTTCTACAAGGTTCTCCAGGGAATGCCCATCGCGGTCGACGCATTCAGATACGGTTCAATTCCGGGTGTCGAAGCGTATTTCCTTACGTAGGTAGTATCTTCTATTCTACTGTATTCTCGCCTCACCGTAGAATGTAGGCACGCCCATTCAGACCATTATACTAATTTGTCCTCTAATTGGAAGAGCGGACCAATCTATTGCTCGGGCAAGCATAACATATTTACTCACATTCGCCCGCTCTAATAAAGATACAGAGGGCACAGCCAATCTCATCATCCACATGCTCGATGTTGACCCCAAGTGGGTCCATCCTCTACCACTGGACGTACCGACCGTCATCCCAAATACCGGTGGCGTTCAAGTCACTCCTATAGAAGCAAACCACTGTACGTATTCCACTTCCCGTATCTACATGTACTACCGCTCATCTCGACGCGCTCCGCGGATACCAGGCCCTGGCTCTTGTTTGTTCCTATTCGAGGGCCCGCAGACCATAAACGCCGGCGACAGTGCGTACAAGTCGCCCTTCGTTGGCTCCCAGCGGGTCTTCCGGTACCTTCATTGCGGAGACTTCCGTGCGTCGCCGAAACACGTCTTACACCCCGCTGTGAAGGGCAAGAAGATAGACCATGTCTACCTTGACACAACGTACTTGGATCCGAAGGTGACTCTGAATACTCCGATGTTACTTTGCACACTGTAACGTATCTGGCCTTAGTACTGCTTCCCACCGCAGCCGCTTGTCATTTCCGCATGCGCCGAGCTAGCTTCGAGGATTGTCAAGGGCCAACCGACCTCCGGGAAAGGATCGGGACCAGGTAGTCAATCCGTCAAAGCCTGGTTGAAACCGCAAGAGAAATCAGATTCTTGCGCACCCGACAAATCCGCAGCCACCGGGAAAGTACTTGTTGTAGTTGGGTATGTCCCCGCATCTCCTGCTCAGCCTAGTATCTGATCGTTAACGGATTCGAACAGGACGTATTCCATTGGCAAAGAACGCATAGTCAAAGCCATCGCGCACGCCCTCGATTCGAAAGTCTACTGTGACAGACGCAAAGCTGCCATCCTTAGATGCCAGGACGACCCGGAACTGCACGCTCTACTAACGCCGGACCCTCTTGACGCCGTCATCCACGTCGTCCCGCTGTCCGTCATCACTTCCGATAGACTCAAGGAATATGTGGAGCGATTCAAGGGGCACTTCGATAGAGCGGTCGGATTCCGACCAACAGGCTGGACGTAAGTTCTTTCCTCTTGTCGTTCCTCGTGCCTTTTACTGACATGCACCTGTCAGCTTCACCCAGCCAAGCGGATCGGACACGCTTCCATCCATCTCTTCCGTCCTGGCTAAGAACCGACAGCGCCCATTCACGCATGCTGACCTTACTCCCCAGCGGAACTCGACACTCAAATTCCAGCTATACGGAGTTCCTTACTCTGAACACAGTTCATTCTACGAGCTGACATGCTTTGCTCTGTCGCTGGACTGGGGCAAGATGATTGCCACCGTCAATGTTGGCAGCGAACGCTCCAGAGCCAGAATGCGACGCTGGGTGGATGCATGGGAGAGAGAAAGGAAGGGGCATCCGAAGGATTATATAGTGTCGCCGAGGGAAGCAGATTACTGGTAAACTTATCATTCGTCAAATCCCAATCCCAGACTGCCTTGCAATATCGCAACCCCTGGCCACACACTCCTTCGCTGTGCATGCAGATAATTTTTGTATGATCGTCTGTGGTGCATACAGAGCATAGCATAGCATAATGCAAAGAGGAAGAGAATACGCTACAAATGAACCCCGCAAACGAGCATCTACTGCTCCGCCGCCCGCTGCCTTCTCCGCATATCTCTCTCCTCGGAGATGGTCAACTTCACACCCTTGCCCTTGGGCAGGGAGACCCATGGCTTGTTACCCTCGCCAATGACGAAAATGTTGGTGATCCTAAAACGATCTGTTAAGCAGAAGAATCTGACTGAGAGAATTACCGTATACGAACCGCGTAGCGAACGTCCGGTCCAGGGAGTCCTTCACGTGAACGATATCGTAGCCACCAATGTGCTTCTCGCGGTGAACGATGACACCAGCACGGCCCATATTACGACCACCAGTGATCATGCACAGGTTACCGATGTCGAACTTGACGAAGTCGACGATCTTGCCCTGCTCAATGTCAAACTTGATCGTGTCGTTGACCTTGATGAGGGGGTCGGGGTAACGGATCGTACGCCCGTCGTGGGTGACGATGTAGGGAACGCCCTTGGCACCGACAGCAGCCTTCTTGACCTTGCAGAGCTTGTAGGAGGCCTCCTCGGGGGTGATGCGGTGGATTGTGAAGCGGCCCTTGACGTCGTACAGGAGACGGAAGTGCTCGCCGGACTTCTCAATCGTAATGACATCTGTTGCGGATGAATACCTCAATCAGAGCGCAACTTGTGCTTGCACGTACCCATGTAGCCCGCGGGGTAAGTCGGGTCAGTCCTAACCTTGCCGTCGACCTTAATCAACCGCTGCATGACGATCATGGTGACTTCACGACCGGTCAAGGCATACTTCAGCCTGTTGCGGAGGAAGATAGTAAGGGGAAGGGATTCGCGGAGTTTGTGGGGACCAGGGGAGGGGCGGGGAGCCTAATCACAACGTCGACAATACGCATTCAATCAATGATTTCCGCGAGCAGAGGTTCAGTTCAGCGTACATAAGTTCCGCTCAGTTTGTCCAGCATCCATGCTGAGGGAGCGGCAAGGCGCTTCAAGTGCTTTTTCGGTCCCCGGCCCTAGGAGAATGTGTTAGCTCGCCTGTTCTGAAATCCTGAGCACGGAGCGAAGGGACGAGAGCCAGGCGCAAGTACATCCATCCGACACCGTCAGCGACCATCCACCCCTTCCTGAGCATCCAGAGACAAAGAGACGCGATGCCGCACCCAGCTCTGTCCGCAGAGAGCATAACACTGACCATCTTGAGTTTCCTTGAAGCGTTGGTGTCGTCGACGACGGTCTTGAGGGTTCGGCGACGCGGTACTGGGCCGTAAACTTTCCTGGGCAGGCGTTGCTTAGTAAGCTCGGGCGCTTCGATCTACGCGGCTATTGCCGAGTGAGTTATCTGTCTTGCAATTGCGTTCTGTCCGAGTCACGGTCCTCTCCAGTCGCAGTCTCTGGCAATCATCCTGACCCTTTCGACATTGGTCATATGCTAGACAAATAGCGCGGATGAGATTCATTGAACTGAACCTGGCTTTGATTTTTTCGAACGGAAGATCTCTGTCCAGGCACCTCAGCAATCTGCATGTTGCTAGGGCGAACCATGACGAATGTATCGTCGAGTTACGGTATGTCAAACGAGCAGAAACACATCTAATTTACTCTTCATTACCGGCTCCACAATTGCTCCGTATTCTGCGATAGCCTGTACATCCGGGGCCTGCCACTAGCTATCACCTGTGTCCAATTCCGGGGGTGCCCGAATGTATGGGTTATCGCAGCGTACGGATGTTGAATACGACGGAATCGAGCCGGTGACTCATTCACATCTTACTCCTTGGTTGGTTTTCCATTCATATGGCGTCTGACCGGTCGTAAATATGACAGATAGATGCGGGACCGGAACTGTTTTGCATCCGAGTCCGGAGCAGGTTCCTAGACACAAATCTGCGCTGTCAATTGGCTAGATCACGTCCCCGCCTCCCTCTTGAGTCCACACCGGGCTCCTGACTGCCGGAATGGCACGCTGGCCTGTAATTTTCGGGTGCATTATGCTGAATACGTTGCACGAATCTCCTCAGGTAGCCCTCACAAACCGTGCTCTCGGGTAGGCGCCATCCAGTGCAGGTACGTTTCCCTCGAGCATGAGCATCGAGGTCTCCATTGAAGAGACTGCATCCGACTCGTCTCCTGACGTGGATACGAAGCATGATTTTGCCACAGAGGTTGGCAGATGCGTTCGTAACAGCTGCCGTACTCTTCGCCACCGACGCGTTCTACTCATGGCATCCCGTGTCCGTTCCCTGACTTCCTCCGACTCCCACCGCATACATCCTGTTGGTTTGTGCTGTGCAGAACAGCGCGGTCCAGCCCGGCTCTTCCACTCGTACGCACCCGCCCAGGCCTTCAAACGGGGTCTGTCTTTCCAATCTCGTGTTCCCGCATCTGTCGGCAATCATAATGTCCTGAAGATCGTCAGGGCCCTGCCAGTGCTCGGTTCAGGTCTAGCGCCATCTCCGTACGAGGCCATTACTTATCACGCACGCCCTAGGGAATATTATCTATTTGTCTTTATCCCACTGGCGATCTCAGGCGGTCGGCTAATTTACTATGAATATCTGTTGAGCCAGGTCTGCTATCTCCACGGCTGGAATACGAGCTCTTGTCCGACTTTGTCGGCGATACCGTGCTCGTGCCTTGCATGTGCGTCGTGTTCAGTAAGACTTAGTGACTACGGCCATTATATTAATCCGGGGCTGGTCAACTCTTCGCGATCTGCAATGATGGGAAAATCATAATCAGGGCGCTATTGAGCAGTGAACTCAGCACTTCCATCTTATGGTCGTCCGCGGCCATCAGCATTTGCCAGGTACTTGGAATTGCGCAGAAGGCACTCATGCTTACGCGCATACAGCCGTACGTTTCGTCTCTGGGAATGCCTTCACTTCAAGGTGCACTGTTGGATGAATCTCGGCCATATGCAATGGTTCGCAGCGGATGATATCAACGACTCGCGTTCGTATCAGCCTCTCTTTTAGGTGGCGGCCAAGGCGTGCGATACTTTCTGACACTGCAGTCTAATCGACAGTCAGTTCCATGTGTCCTCGAAGTCAATAAATCATCGCGGCAGGGGTACTGCGAGAGAAATCCAGGCCAGAATCGGTCTGTTCTGGCATCATACTCGCATCTGTAGAACCTGGGAACCCGGTCTGTCTAAGTCAGTATTTCCTCTTCTCCTTTCGCCGTGGCTAAGCCGGCGGCAGGCAGTCAGACTGAGGCAGCCCACTCCTGTCAGGCTGTCACGTATTAATAGGTCCCGGTAGCTGGAGTTACAGGTTGGGGTAGGTAAAACACCGTGGATGCGCGTCGAGGACGGTGATGCCTGTCCAACCACCTATCAGGTCCCGACCGACGGTGGTTGCGATGCTGTTTGCAGAACTCGGATGCCCAGTATGTAGACTTCCGCAAATTCGCAGGTTTCTTTCGATCAGTCTGACCTTTTTCTCTTCGGGAGGCAGGGACGTCCGCCGTTTCGGCATGCACGCCTACCCGAGCGTGAGGGGGGCCCACAGATCCGTGCGAACAATATCCTCATACTGCGTCCATAGCGTCGATGTAACTGACAGATACCATAGCAGATAAAGTTAGTGTGCCAGGAGCCATATCCCCGGGTCCCTCATATACAGACTTACCAATGGTTGACAGGTCCCTTATGGGAGATCAAATGAGATGCTGATGGTAGCGGGTGCGTGCGTACTGACGCGAGTATCTTATCCGAGCAGACAATCCGCAGCAAAATACACACCAAGCTCAGTTGAACTCAAGCAGGATCGCTGCCGAGGCATGAGTTCGCGACGCAGTTGTTCGACCGAGTGTCGTTCGTATTTGCTTGCAAGTGGATGAATCGGAATAGAGGAGAAGTCCATGAGGTGCTACTCTGTGCCTTTACCGTATAGGTCTACAGACCTCGCCACGGTATCGGCAGTCCTGAGCACTTCCCTGGAGAATCAAGAAGCGTGCCTCTGAGAAGATTGCACTTTGATCGGCGCTTTCTTCCCCTCCCCGAGTAGCAGCGTACCTGACGCTACCTGACGGGACGCTTAGAAGCTGCTATCCGGTTCCGCTTTATGGGGAAGAGGTCCTTTCACTCTGCCTCTGTTATGGACTATCGACATCCAAGGGCCAGTCATCCGGCTCGCGTCGCCGTGGTTAACTATACCAAGTACGGTGTATTTGAATTAAATGATGACGGCTAGCTAGGTACGGTAGCTAATCGTTGAAAAAGGTCGGTATCCAGCTTCGTTGGACATGTTCAGTACGTATATACTCGCCAGGAATACACGCATAGGACCGAATGCTCGGACTTGTGGCCATCTCGGTCACGGACCCATCTACGCGGCGAAGGCGGAGGCTACAATTAGCATGAAGACCTTTGATTGACTGTTCCTAGCTAGATGATGATGATGATGCAATGTCGAGGTTGCGGCTGGTAGTGATAGAGGAATCTCCAGGTACCGCCACCGCACGAGGGAGAGATCCAGGATCACAGATGCTGTGCTGCGTTTGTTATGCGTGACCACGCTTTCCGCTTGAGGATACGTATGTTTTGGCGTGTCAGGGTATGCCAAAAGGAAACGGCAACTGATTGTGTCTCTGTTAACCTTGCTTCGAACGGTATGATCATCTTCAGGGCTCATGGAGAAAGCAAAGCCTAAAATGCTATATTTGTAGTGTGCAACTTGCAAGTTTATCACATCCTGACCTAATTATTGATCTCGTTTCCCTCTGTAACCCCCCAAGGATCGAGCGTCTATTATCATTTCAATGATAGCTGCGGAATCCAGGGATTATTATAGGCACCCTCGATCCTTGATATCAGGGCGTATGTTGCCCTGAATCGATAGGCAATCTCTGAATCAATTCATCCAGCCAAAATACCCCAGCACTCGCTACAACAGTGCAATCTAATAGTCCCCCATCGGCCCCTGGTGCTGGTACGGTCCCTTGGGACGTCGTCGAGGGCATGGTGATATCCGCTGTGACATGATGCAACATCTCCAGCGTACAGATAGGAGCGCCGTTGTCAGAGAGGACGAGGACAATGCCACTCTGGCAATAGCACGCCTCCGGCCCTGCCATTGGTTCATCGTATTCCGGCAGGGCTGTCTACTAACCCTGAGGTTGGGCAACGATCATCCACGCATGGGTACTTGGCACTGGTTTGGATTTTCAGGGACTTGATCCGTAAGAGCGGTGTCCTTTCCTGATGATAAAACCGGGTTTGCCGAGTTGCTGCCCTTGTGTATGGTCTCTTACTTTTCAGCTTCGAATGACCGCCTGACGCAACAAACGCCTCAGTATGGCTGAGATATAGAGCACTCATAAGTACCCCATCACAAGAATGTATGTCAATCCAAGGTATCCCCCATATGTCTGGAGTCAATATTTCAAGTGTACAACGTTCCTGTACTGAAAATCCACTCACTATGATTCCGGCCTGCAGCTAGTTTACTCTTGATCTGATGTGGTACGGACAGAAGTGGCCGATGGATGTTTTGGGGAATTAGAGTTCGGCAAATTCTCGGAAACCGAGTCCGACGAACCCAGCGGGGTAAGGAGGAAAAGCGATGTCCCTTTGAGACTGGTCTCCATTCGCTTGTCATATCAAGAACATGCTGCACGAACCACGAACCGAGGTGTCCGACATGTTAGGATATTCCGTCTCACTCGAGCCGTGCGTGTGGCCTGCTGAATCGGACTGTGTCGGGTCCCGGTGTCATCGCACGTCCTACAACTCGCACCAGTGTATGCCGTTAACCCGATGATGTGAGCATTTTTCTATCGCACGGGTTGTGAACAAATCGCCTTTCCAAAAGCCTCTGTGTGTACAGAAGTTAATTGCCGCGGCGCGCGCTTCGGGGCAACGTCCAGCATCACGGCAGCTTGTATTGTCGCGACTGGTGATGATGCCTAGCCTGTAGGGAGATTGCGACATGATGACCGTTCAGGCGATATACATTCACGCGCCAGGTGACAGGGCGGCTTCAGGGGCCCTTCGTGAAGAGGTACAGTCGAGGATGACAATTTAAAGGTCGCAGCTAGGATGATTGCCGCCATTCCATCGGCCTCCGCGTCGATCTTGGGATTCCTCACGAGCAAAGCTGAGCAAAGGCACCGCGGCCTCCCACGTCACCCTCCTGTCAGCAGTGCGGAAGTAACTGCACGTACAGCTGCACAAAGGCTAAATGGGCGGGGTACAGCGAAGATGTCCATCGTAGTTGTCGTGATGTTTCACCCCTCTGTAGCTGGAGACTAATGGAAATGGATACCAAGGCTATACGAGGGTCCACAGCTTCAGCAAGGGCGCTAGCGCCAAACCTGGTGTGACACGTTATACATACCTCAAAGGTCTCGCGTAGTGCATGAGGTCGCGTAGCGAGCGGATTGATTAGATTGCCGCTGAGAATCTTGATCATAGGCACAGCGTCAGTCCACGGGAGATCACCAGATCTTGTTAGGCAGAACCAGGTGGAAGACTGTGAGTGTGCAGTCCATGGTTCTACAAACCACCGGGATTAATGGGTCCTTCTCGATACACTTACTTTTATTCTCTAACAAAGTCAAAAGCTCCTCGGAGTTCCAGGATACTCACTTGTGCAAGTGCAACGCCGATTCCGAATAGGGGCAGGATATACGGAGATGACGTTAGGCGTTATCGTGGCGGCAATCAGGACAAATCGCAGCCAATCAAATTTAGTTGGGATCGCCGCCACAAGTACTCACGAATGTCACTGGTCCGAGGCGCGTTTGTGGCGGCGCAGCTGGAGGGTTGTAAGCAGCACCTGTACAGAGGCAATCACTGGATGGGTTGTTGGGTTGGTTAGGCCAAGACAGAATTATTTGAGTTTCCCCGAATGACTGTACTCGGAATGGTATGGAAGCGCAGGAATGCCTCGCCGCGGTCACCGACGCCAAAATGAAGGGTTGCTGCAACGTGCGCCGGCTGGGCATTACTACCGTACTCCGCCATCCTGCGTGTGGGAGACGCTGCAGTAGATAATTCAGTTGGATCTCAAAGGCGACATCGGTGATTCACACTCCGAACAAAAGGCTACGCCCGAATAAGGGAGTCCTCCCACGTCTCTTTGGTATGGTCGTATCTTCACAAGTCCGTTGCAATTCAACAAACGCTGGGCATACTCAGGAAGGTCAGTAAAGTGCCATAACAAGGGCGCGCTCATTCCCCGCAGTCGCCGGAACTGTCTCGGTGGCGGACAAAGACAGACGTCTATGTGCATATGTGCTGCAACTCATCCATTCCGACGATGCCTTGTGGCCAGTCGCTGTACAACAGTGGAGCTATCATATGTGCCAATTCCACCCATTGGTGTGGGGAGCAGGCCGAACTACCGATCGTGGCAATGGCGCGCTGAATTGGGAGGCGTGTCGGCGGGCAGTGGTGGTCCCGTCACATATTGCCTCCGATCATCGTAGACTGATGCCCCTAGACTCATCGTTCGTTGGTATACTCAGGCTGAACTAGATCCTAGCTATCGCAGGCCGTCGTTGAAACAGGCAAATGCGCATCAATGCAATCACTTGATGATTTGAAAAAGTCGGCGGCGTACCTTACCCTCCACTGATGGCGATGCGAGCACCTCCGTCGAATGCGGACTCAATTCAAGTATTGATCCTGTATATAAGGTAGCGCGCGTCCGAAGACAAAACCTTGCCTTCTGCCTGTGTTTCGTTGAAAGACAATGTCGCACTGTTTCTCACTTGACCTGCTCGCGGAGCACAAGCTCTGCCTGGACTTCTCCAACCCTGGAAAGCCACCAAGTATCCAATGGGAACCACTCTCTCAGCCTGTGAGCCTTGCGCGTCTCGCAAGCTCACTCTCTATCAAAGTCAACGTGTCCGGAATGAATGGACGCAATACTCTAGCATTGTTCGTCGTCAGCGATCCTGCATCAGAAGCCGAACAAACCAACGAGGCAAACGTCGAATCCTCCGTGCGTTTCTCCCCTGTAATATGTCTTAGCTCTGGGTGGCTCATGCGTGTCATATTTTGTAGAACTCAGAACGCCAAGAGGTGCCCGTCGAGACTCCTCCCAGTGATCCCGTCGTGGAGGTCTCTCCCGCAGTCCCTGCTCCAAAGAGTCAGGACGTTCGTGCCGAGCAATGGAGAGAGTCCCCATCCATGCCAGGTAAGAAGCATCGTATCTGAATCCAGAAGCAAGTGGCTTATACAATACAACAGATATGGCCCTTGAGCTCACACCTGCTCTGAGCCACCGAGAATTCAGTCCGATGTCGACCGCCCTCAACACCCCCTGCATCCCTGCTGTGTCCGATGTGCCACGGAAGCTCGGATCCGACCACCAGCCGGGCCTGTTCCAGTGGCTGCCCGCTGACTCGGAGCACGACTGGCAACGCTTCATCACTTCCATGAAGTGGAACGAGCTCGAACAATCGCCAGCTGCGTTCTCCCCCGATATTGCGCAATGGGTCAACAACGCTGGTGAGGCAATTGGGTTTTGCTCTATTGCGCCTATTTAAACAAGCGATTTATAGATTCATCCATCCTCGAGACGACAGGCTCATATAGCAACCCTTCTGAGGTGTTCTATGGGTCCGAGGTCTGTGCGCCTCTCCCCGCAGAGGGCCAGTGGGTCCATGCCGAACGCGCAGACACGGCGACTTCGTCGCCGCACATGTCCGCCTTCGAGTTCACCAACCCACCGCCGAGCCATGCCGGCTCCTCTCACACCTCCCCCGGGAGCTCCTGCGACGCAGAAATGTCTGATAGCTCATCGCAGTCCATGCCACCTTACTCCGAGGTTCCCCATGCTTCCTCATCCCAAGTACAACTGAACTCCCATCCCCTGCCACCTCCCTGCGCGTTCGACGAGTCCGATGCTTCTTCCTACTCGGCGATGTCGGACGGACAGTCCTCCAAGCCCACTCCGCGGATCCGCTGCGAGCACGAAGGATGCGACCGCTCGTTCAAGAACGAGTACACCTACAGCGTGCACGCCTCCGTCCACGCCAGGAAGAAGAAAAGGCGTTTCGACTGCGCGCACTGCAGCGAGACGTTCTCGCGACGGCACGACATGATGCGACATGAGGTTCGTACACGTGTTACTAGCTGTCCATCGATCAAGCAATTTAACGTAAACGCCTTAACTTACAGGTCTCGCAGCACGGTAAAGTCCCCGACTGGACCTGCGATCGGTGCAGGCGCTTCTTCTCGAGCGAGATGACCCTCAAAAATCACAAGTGTCCTGCAAGCCGCAAGGCGACCAGGTCCGCGCTCCCACCACTCCCACCACCACCACACATGCACCACCATCCCGCGGGATTCCAAGCATAAGCATGGACCTCTCATTCAATCCTATCATTATTTATCATTGGTCACGGCACGCTTTACGACTTTATACGAGGCTGAGTATAGACTACTGTATACTATGTGTGTTTATATCGTACTTCTACAGTGTAATTTCTTATGCGCCTATGGATTATGGGAGCTCTGTAATGTCACATGAATCAATTGACTTTATGCAATATTTATTGTCTTTCTGTCGCAAGCTTACTGTGGCACGGAGGAGCAAGTTAGCCCTGATCGACACGAGGATACACACTACGGCCTAAAGGATCCGAATGATGTGCAGGGTGCTGCGATAGACTCCGTATGCACTAGCACAACCGCCGACCTCGGAGTTATCATAGTAGCGTTAGCGTCTGAGCGGCGCATTGTGGCGATATGCTAATCGACCAAATGTACGACGTCGGCGCTGTCTTGTCTGCAGAACGTAGTATTGTCGCGAGCGGTACAGACATACTAACGACAATTACTCCCGTCAGTCGTCAGTCGTCAGTCGGCGATATGTTTGTAACTCTCCCTATGGATAGTTGCACTAGTACTCTCTTCATTTCCAACGAAACGTGAAACATGGTGAAGTGTGTAGATCACGAGGAAGATACTTTACACCTGACTTAGTTTCAAAGTCAGCACCTGGCCAACGCTTTAAAAGTTGCCAACGCTCGACTCGCAAAGATGGGAAGGATACGTGGCATTGAGATAGGCTTGTCGAGGCCTCGGGCGCCATCTTTCGCGACGACAGCTTGCACCGTCCACGTCGCAATGATCCGTCAGTAATTAGCACATTCACGGACACAACTTGGGGTCGATAGAGTTCAGCTAGTTCATTCGTGTATGACTGATGTAATGGTAGGTGCTAGAGTGCCTTTCCATATGGACGATGATAGAGGTGCACCAGTATTGAGCAGCCTATGAAAGAACACATGGGCGGTACCGGTGTCACGGAATGCAGCAATAATTGTGTGGCTGCGGCGTCTCAGAATGGAGAAGCCACGCAATGATAAGCTCAATGACTAAGTTAATCGATGATAGGCTTGCTATTTCTGTGATGGAAAGGAAACCAAAGGACTATACTCGTTTATCTCGGTACCGGTTGCGACCCTAACCCTACCAGTAGGAGCCAGACATTCCCCGACAAGGATCAGGTCCAGCCTTGCAGAGAGCACTGTCGGTACTCTCCAATCCGCTGACAGGTTGAAGGATATATCAGAATTACATAGAATACAGGACGAAACACCGATAAGGGCTCTACAAAGTCCGCAGTACACGTCAGCGATTGTCCTTCAATGCTCGAGCTACCATTGTCTCCAGGCTTATCGCCCTATACTGGCCGTCAGGCTCAGGAGCCCAGACAGCATCATCCTGTATGTATACGATCAACCCGCCTTTTCCGTCCGCGCGCTGGGAGACGCGGAACAAGGGCATCCGCGACGTTTCATGGGCCCGTCCAGTCGGTATGAAAAGGAGATTATGCGATGCAGCATACTCTTCCACGATAGAACGGAAGGTGATCTCCTGCGTGCGAGGTGCCCTGGGCTTCGGTGTTCCCTGTCGGGATGTAGCTTTAGATGCGCGGTCGGGCTTGCGACGCTCCGGACGCGGCAATCGATTGCGTGCTTCGGGCCCGAGTTCGATAGCCGTGTTCATTAGCTGTAAGCCGCGCGTGAACTCATCCCGGACATCTGGCATGCTTTGAACATATTCTGGGAATACGCCCTTCCAGAAGGAGTACCACTGGGCGACTTCCTCGAAACTTGCACTCGGCTGAATGAGCCAGAAGTGCAGGATCTCGAGCCACTTAGGGAAAAACTCGGTCTCCAATATTTGAGAGAAGACAGACGATCGGATAATGTCGGCCCAGGCAAGGACTTGATTGATTGGCTCCATGTTTTGATTCCGCGGGTCGATCTTGAATTCGTCACGGAGAAGCGCGCCAAGTTTGGGTACGATGTACTTCAACATCATATTGTCCCATTCATCGGCACCAAACACCTAAGAGTTGCGGGCATTAGATACGCCCACAGGACGCGGACCGGAAGATACTTACGTTCTTCCAAACAAGCAGATCTTCAGGAACGCCATCGCGGGGGGACCAGCTTCTCAGAGAGCTCTTCAGCTTCCTCTTGGCGTCCCCAAGAACTTCTTCGATCCTCAGACCAATATGGGGAAGCCAAAGGAACACGAGCGTTTGCAGCGGCACCGTGTCTTTCCGGGGATTCCAGTCTGCTACCGCCTTCCGGACTTTCGGTAAGATAAGTTGATCAAAGAAATTATCACGAATGAAAGGGGGTAGGAAGATTGACCACGCCTCATATAGCTTGACGGCCTGCTGAGGCTGCCTAGGATCCCAGTCGTTGTTGATGACAGATCGTACTTTCGGTAACCACACGTTCCACAACAGGCTCTCAAAAGGCGTCATGGGCTTATCCCTGTTTTCGAGAACAAATACAAACGTCAGTGGCAGTACGCACACGAAAACCCGAAGGACCTACACTTGAGTAGCAGGGCTAGTCAGAGCTCGCCCACTGCCATACAAATCCAGTTGATTCCGAGGCTTCTCTTCAGGGGCAACCTTCAAAGCACCGCGCCACGCACGAAATATACTCGTGAACGCAGCAGGATCCTCCAGTGGTCGCCACTGGGCCAGCATCCTACGGAACTGAACAGGTATCGTATCAGAATTTTGACCGGATGAGCGACCTCATGCGCTTACTATCGGTGCAATGGCTGCGACCACGATCTCGTCCAGATGATACTTATCAAACTCTGGTGAGAACTGACTGAGGAGTTTCTCGAAAAGAGGGGAGAAAGCATCCATGGAAGCTTCGTATGTGGAAGCCAGACCTTTAGCCTGAGCGTTAATATCATCTGCGACAAGGTGTACCTGCTGCAGACGTTCAATCACTGTGGTCTGGAAAGTCAGATACCCGATCATAACACATTGGAGCATTGCACATACACCCGGCCTCTTCAGATACTTTCTTCCTCAGTCGTGCGTCTTCGTTGCCGACCCATTTTTTACGCTCTTCCAGCGCTCGAGCTTCCCGGGCCAGCCCGTCCAAATCGACCTTACACGCATCAGCAATGAGACGCAGATTATGTCGGACTTCGGGAATTCTAGTAGGGTCTGTGGAAGGCGTCCAGGATGCCATGGATACCTCAGCGAGTGACGAAACTTCGCGGGGCTATAGTAGAGTATGAATAGTTGGAGATCGTCCGGTCAATGTTTGCGGGACTTACGGTAGCTCCAGTAGCGTCGATAATCGGGCCAATACCTGGCGCTGGTGCTTCATCACCGGCTTCGGCGAGGATCTCCTCATAAGTCTTGTGCTGGACTTTCCTTTTCGTCTTCCTGGGTTTTTTCCAAGCCTCTGATTTGTCCTCTACTGTACGACCGGCTCTCCTGCCTTTCTTCGCCTTCCCTTCGTCCTCGTCATCGCTTACGACTTCACCACGCCTTCTGGCCTCAGCCTTAGACTGCTCCGTTTTTTCTTTAAATCCCTTGTACGCGATACCCATCTTTCCAGGGCGTAGCTTGGACTCGACAGGAGTCACGATACCCTCGCCGGTAACACCCAGACCTGTGCCAGCCTGCCAACCCATCTTCTCGAGCATGCGGGCTCCGAAGGTGCCTTGCAGCTTGCTGAAGTGAGCCCGCTCATGGGGCGCTAGCGGGGGAGGAGTACGAGTTCCGTCTGAACCAGTCGATCCATCCCGCAAGAATGAACGTTGTGTACGGGAAGCACCAAAGGCAGAGGGTAGGCCAGAAGGCAGACTGGGTGGTGGTGACTGAGATGTAGCAGGGGTGGAACGTGACGAGCCAATACCCCCCTTACCGAAAGCTGGAAATGCATTGTTCGACGTGCGCGCGCCTCCACCAAGACCAATACCTCCTTTGGGTACTGGCTCTTGCTCAGCGTCATCCTGAGTGGACTGTAGGCGAGCGGAGCCTATACCGCCTCTGCTGAAGCCAGTGAACATGCTCGCGGACGCACCCTTAGAAGCCCCCATGCCTAGACCACCTTTGGGCTGCCGTTCCTCTTCCTCCTCCGCCTCCCTATCCTCCCTCTCTTCTTCAGGCTCTTCCGCTCGGAGTCCGGGAGAAGCGGCGTCCGACATGTGTGCGTCTCCAGAGTCACCAGAGCCCACTGAGCCTGCATCACTATCTTCCGCATTATCCGCATCCTCCATGACCTGATCGTCATCTGAAGGCTTGCTCGACTCGTTCTGATTCCCCTTTGTAAAGGCTGGTGCCTTAGTCCAGTCACTTCGTCTGCCCCTTGTCTCGCGTTTCTTCGGTGTATACTTCTCCTCTTCTTCGCTGTCATCCGCAAACACACCGTAGATAGCGTCCTCCTTCCCGCCCTTCCTTCTCTTCTTCCGTCCATACGGGTTCTCAAATAGTTCGCGTTCCTCTCGTAGATCGGGGTCGTTGTCAGGTAAATCGGGTATGTCTTCGACATCAGACCCGACAGAGGAATCAGAGTCGAGGTCATCCAATAAGTCGCGTTTCCGCCGTGGCATCCCTTGAAAGTCGATCGTAAAGGAACAAGTGTAAGTCGTGGGGCGGCTCGATCACAGCCACACATGGCACATAATGTAACTGTGCACACAAAGAAGGCTGCTAAAAGAGCAAAATACAGGGCCTGGCCGGGAATTGAACCCGGGACCTCCTCCAAATGACTGAATACCCTAAGAAGGAATCATACTACTAGACCACCAGGCCTTGCATTGTCACGTAAATAGTAACACTACGTAGCTATAAAACCCGAATTAGTCTATGGCGCGTCCCTTAGACTACGCGTACGCTGGCTTACGCGTCAGCTTTAGGATTCACTTACCATCAGTCACCAGTACTAGCATCTTTACGATGGCGGAACACGCGTCGACGTCGTCGGGAAACATGGATCAACGCCGTAAAGATGCGCTGAAGGCGTACAGAGAGGTGTGTACTGTCAAGTAGAGCTGTGGAATGAGACCTGATGTGCATACCCAGAAAATGCGAACGCATGAGACCATTAGTGAGAGCCTGAAGAATTGTAGGATTTAATATTGTATGAGTACAAGATACCGGTCCTCATTCTGGCCCCCTGTAGTGCGCTTCTCCCTGAAGGACCTTGAGAAGACGTACGAGAAGACGGAGGACGACATCAAAGCCGTCCAGTCGGTTGGTCAGATTATTGGCGAAGTGATGAAGCAACTAGACGATGACAGATGTGAGTGCCCTCGCCATAACGCGCCTTAGAGATCACATTGAATCCGGTACGCCACTCAGTCATCGTAAAGGCGTCATCTGGACCCCGCTATGTTGTATCCTATCGACCTACGCTCCCCGTTGAGAAGCTCAAGCCAGGGACCCGAGTGAGCCTGGACATGACGACGCTGACAATTATGCGGATACTGCCTCGCGAGGTTGACCCGATGGTGTACAAGATGAGCTTGGAGGACCCGGGAGGAGCGTCGTTCGCTGGTATCGGAGGGTTGGGCGAGCAGGTTCGAGAGTTACGAGAGGTACGATCAATCAACGAGGTCGGTCATGTTCATATGTACTTAAAGGGCTCGACAGGTCATCGAGTTGCCACTCCTGAATCCGGAGCTCTTCTTGCGGGTGGGCATCAAGCCGCCGAAGGGTGTCTTGCTCTATGGTCCACCAGGCACGGGAAAGACTCTGCTAGCAAGAGCAGTTGCCGCAACATTGCAGACGAATTTCTTGAAGGTCGTGTCATCCGCCATTGTTGACAAGTACATTGGTGAATCAGCGAGGGTGGTGCGCGAAATGTTCGGGTATGCTCGCGAGCACGAACCATGCGTCATCTTCATGGACGAGATCGATGCGATTGGGGGCCGTAGATTCTCTGAAGGAACAAGTGCCGATCGTGAAATCCAGCGGACTCTAATGGAGGTGAGTTTCCTACCTTTATCATTACTGCACGTGAATGCTAATGGCGTCGTTCAGCTCCTCAATCAAATGGACGGTTTCGACTCGTTGGGACGAACAAAACTAATCATGGCTACTAACCGGCCGGATACTTTGGACCCGGCTCTCCTTCGGCCGGGTCGGTTAGACCGGAAGATCGAAGTCCCTCTGCCAAATGAGCAGGCCCGGCTAGAGATTTTGAAGATCCACGCCCAACCTGTCAACAAGAGCGGGGACATTGATTACGAGGCAGTTGTAAAGGTGGGTCTGCATACTCAGTGGGAAACTTTGAGGAGAAGTCTCATAGATATGACAGCTGTCGGATGGCTTCAATGGCGCCGATCTGCGTAACGTTGTGACTGAAGCTGGTATGTTCGCCATCCGGGACGACAGGTCAGTGCATTCTTCATATCTCCAGCTAATCCACGTTCAATGTCTTCCATCCTCAGGGAATATGTGACGCAGGAGGATTTCATGAAAGCTGCACGGAAGGTGGGTGAAGCGAAGAAGCACGAGAGTACGTCCGTTTCTTCGCAGAGTAGTTCCACTGCTGACGTCTTTCATTTCTCCAGCCAAGCTAGAGTACAACATATAATAGTCCTTTGCTTCTATGTATTATAGCTCCTCCGGACTCTTTCCCTGCGGTCGAGGTCTGTCATGATACCATAACCTCTCCATACACCGTTCAGCGCTCGATTCGATCAAGCACGTAGACATTCTAGCAAAAGTCCAGGGAGGTATCGCATTAAACACTAAGCCTTACGGTAATAAGTCGTCGTATAATACAGTGCCCGGGTGGCCGTAGATTAGAATCGGAACAGCCCTTTCTTCTTCTTCTTCTCTTCCTTCTGCACGCTTGACCCGCTGATGCTGTTTACCGATATCGTGGAGTCAGCGAAGGACGTCTGTGAGGGCCTGGTAAGCCTGCTGCGATCCTCTTTCTTTGAAGCCGGCGGGGCAGCTGGACGCTGAGGTGGTGGGGCATCTCGAGAGAAGTACTTCTCATCGTAATATTCTTGGAAGGTCCGCTGACCACCCTTATGCTCGGGTAAGCCATTCGGAATGTGCTTGGATCCGACCCCGCCCAGTTCCAGAACCTTGAGGTCGTCGACGAACTGTCGAGGAGCTACTGCATGGGTAGATCCTGGACGGCAATAAGCACATCGCTCCTCTCGTTTTCTCCACAAAGCCGACTCACCAATGATAATTTCCTTGTTCAGCGAGTTGGACAGGAGATACGCCTCCCTCATCTCCGAGTAAGTCATACCGCCAGCAACGAACAACAGCAGACGCTGTCGGTTATCAGCCCCAGATGCCCCACCCGGCTTGGCCGCCCTGTGCCAGCTCGGTTTGGCACTTCGGAGGGAGGTTGCCTGGGGAGGCGCGGAACGCAGACTCGCAGCAGCAGGAGCGTTGGCCATAGGCGCGTCCTTCACGTACGGGAACATCGACGGGTCGAGCTTGTTCGCAGCTTGGTCCTACAAAACTATCAGAACTGCTCAAACCACTGTCTGACTCGGGCTCGTGCCTCAACTATCGTCTTCACTAGAGGTTTGAATCGGGACAACTCGTACTCCTCGTCCTGAGACGATTTCTGCTTGATCTTTTTCTTTGTGTCGCGATCGGACGCTCCCTAATCATCCAACGCGTCTTCAGTAATGCATGCCACACACGAAGTCGCCAAGCTCTGCGTACCCTACTAATTCGGACACCCATGTGTACGAGGGCATTGACAGCATCCTGTTCTGGCAGAGACAGCCTCGCATGCTGATATAGTCGTCGCCGATCCTCGTCCGGAACACCATCCCGGTACTGAATATAAAGCGCAACGATGCGCACTTTGTTCAGGTTGCTGGGCACGACGTGTCAGTGTGAACCGACGGATCGGGAGTGACAACCTGGACATACATAACTTCTCGGCTGTCTAAGAGGGGGACCATCTCTTCAACCAGGTTTTTGGGACTCTTGCCCTCGGCAGTCAAGCCTGTAGCGCAGCACTGGAACAGGTGAGTTTAACTGAGGGTGTCGTCAACGTTTCCACTGCCTACCTGCTCGACGTTGGCTACAGCGGGCAGCTTGTCTTTCTCAAATATGGCCATGCATTCTTGTGCCATATTCAGGTGAAGGGAAAACTACCCTTCAGTCAGCACTGGCACGGCTAGCATGTCATGGTGGTCTGGCTTGCCTTCTCGCGCTGCTCTTGGTATTGCGGCAGGTTCGCTAGCATGTCCTTCATGTCTGTAAGACTCGCTGCTCCCTCCCTATCCACACAAGTGAGTTCAAGTACTCCATGCCATGCACACTCGGATGCTTACCCCTGGAAGACACCATTGTCTTGCATAAACTTATTGAAGTCCGCCATGAGCTTATCAATCGCTTCGCGCATGTGCATATGCCGGACATCCGTCCAAACAGTATCTTCGTCCGTTAGCGTCGCCGTCTTGTTCTCAAAGGACCCCAAAGAAGACTGGAACTTGTACCTGCGCAGATGTCAATTTCAATCAGTCAAGTCAGCGAAGAACGATAACACCGAACGTGTATTTCGTCCCATCCTCTATAGGGAGTAAGTCGTTCGCCATGGCTTGGTATGTGAATTCGTGGATAAAGGGAGCCATCATATCCATCGACCGGTCTGTGATGATGAGCGTGGCGCGTCCGCGCTCCGACTTCTTCTACAGACACACCATATGCGTCAGCAACAACCCCAGCCCCTCTTGGTATATATTCACCGGGAAATCAGAGTTATTCCTCTTATACTCGTCCAGGGCATCCTGTACGCTAAACGCGAGTAGTTTCGTGAGAAAATCCGTCTCGACGGACTCGTACGCCCGGGCCTCCGAACCCCGCGCGAGCTGCGTCCGCCAGCGCCCCGCCGCCTCTGGCGGGGGCGGAGGCCGGGTGTCCACGTGCGGCTTGAGTGCGCCGAGCGGCGGGTGGTGGGGCGGCATGTAATATCGTATGTAGGGGTACTCATTGAGGGTGATGCAGAGGTTCGCGATCTGCACTGGGAGATGAGCGACGCGGCGTCCCACTGGTGTAGTGTACTCACGCATTTGGCGGCGAAGCGCACGTCCTCTTCTAATCGCGCGCGCGCGGGCTTGTATGCGGACTCGTTGCGCGGGGGGCTAAAGAAGCTGAAGAAGAGGCCCGGCTGTTTCAGGGAGAACGCTTGGGCTTCGATGGCTGTACGTGGACCGGCGTGCATGAGAGGACGTAATGAGGGCATGGCAAGGAGGTCGCACCTACCCCAGAAGTTAATGTACAGGTCTTGCAGACACCGCAGGTGGGGCTCCGCAGGTGACGAAGTCAAGCGTTCGAAAAGGTGTTCCGGGAGGCCTGAACACCACATCAGCAGACGTCCGAGCGCGTCCCGGGGCGTGCGTACCGTCTATGAAGAACAGGTGTGCGCCGGCGTACTGCTGCTTTCCGTTAGAGAAGTCGTTAATGATGCGCTCGACGTTCTGCGTCGTCGGCATGAGGAGGTACATGGCCTCGAAGGTCTGCGGATCGCGGTAGTTCGTGATGGACTCGATCACTGGGCAATAATGAATGAATGAAGGGCTTCCATTAAATGGAAAGGCTGCGTACATGTTACATTCTCTTGTAGGATGTCAAACTGCTTGAGCACGGAGCCTAGCAGCTTCTGCGAGTGTTCGTCCACGACTAGGATCTTCCATCTTCCAGGAGGGTTGACCGACCGGATAGCATCCAAGAATTCTGCCGTCGTCGTGTCAAACATGAAGCAGCCATTTCCCGAATAACTTACTCGCTCGAACGGTCGAAATCAAAGAGGACATTGGCCACCGCAACGACCGAACAGCAGATATTATACCGCGACTCGAAGCAAGCTGCTGCCAACTACGGTCAGGCCTTGCCTCGGTTATCTCCGGCGCACGCTCCTCGGCGACGCGCCTCTGATCGCGGAACAGACGCGTCCACGAAACTTTCACCGCTCAACGCTCGCGACGACGACGACGGACAATGCTCAGGTCATCTCTGCGCAGCCAGCCGGTATTCTCGGCCGCGCGCTTCTACTCAACAGGCAAACCGGACATCAAGCTCGTCGCTGAGCTGCGCAAGCGCACCGAGGTCTCGCTCACGAAAGCGCGCGAGGCGCTCGCCGCGTCCGGTAACGACGTCAACGCTGCGCTCGACTGGCTCGAGCAAGACCTCGCGGTCTCCGGCGCGAAGAAGGCCGCGAAGCTCGAGGGGCGCACCGCGAACGAGGGCCTCGTGGGCGTGTGCGTGCTGTCCGCCGGCTCAGGCTCGGGGCAGGGCGCGGGGAGGGGGAGCACGCGCGCGGCAATGGTCGAGCTCAACTGCGAGACCGACTTTGTCGGGCGGAACGAGCTGTTTGGGCGGCTGCTCGCGGACATCGCGCACACCGCCGCCTTCATCGCGGAGCCCGCGGACTCGGAGGACCTCCTCGTGCCCTGCCCACTGGACATGCTCCACGACGCGCCCCTCATCTCGAGCACGGATCCGAGCGTGCAGGCGCGCGCGACGGTGGCAAGTGCTATACGGGATACTATCGCTAAGGTGGGCGAGAAGATCTCACTCCGGAGGGCGGTCACTGTCGCGCGGCAACCGTTTGCGTCGAACGAGCTTGGCCTGCGCGTCGCGTCGTACGTGCACGGTTCAGTCGGCCTGCCTTCTCAAGGTCGGATAGGCACGCTTGCCCTCCTTGCACTTAAATCGAATAGTCTACGCGATGTGCTCTCGAAGCCAGACTTCCTCGCTGACCTCGAGAAGTTGGAGCGGTCTATTGCCAGGCAAATTGTCGGATTCGATACGCAGATGATCCAGTCGTCCTCCGGAGAGGAGACGGAGACAGCGCTGTACCAGCAGCCGTTCATGATGTTCGCGGACAACCCTCAGGGAGAAAACGTGGAACAGGTCCTTAGACGATGGGCAAAAGAGAAGGGATTGGCGACCAATCCGGAATCGGAGGGACTGGAAGTGATAGAGTTCAAGAAATGGTCGGTCGGGGGAGACGAGGTGTCAGCGCTGGGAGCATGAGTTTTCACGTTCTAATGCGATGCGTTGTGGGGTGAAGTCGTTCGGATCTTCCTACCCGTTCTCGACACTCACCATTCACGACTCACGACCAGAAAAGTATAGTGTACGCCTCTGGATAATACGTACTCCTTAGAGCCCCTGCTAATGCCTACATCCCATCTCACCCTTACCCCACCCCGATCAATAATACCTTACGGGCAAAGCTGCCTCCAATCCTCTACGCATACATGTGAGTCTCACACTCGAGCGATGCACGCTGGGTGGTGCTGCGAGCCTTTACCCCGGCATTGGATACGGAAACAGCATCCTCACGTAGTCGAAGATTCATCTTCCCCGCTGGAAACGTGGAGTCGCGGTCCATTCCTCTGCTAACGCACGACCACTAAGCTTTGCAACCGAGACACAGAGTTCATGTCAGCAGCCCACCCATCATTCCGATTAACTTGGCAGACTCACTGCGCACGGACACTATCTCGGACGAGACAACGCCTTGCGTTCCTCAGAGGCATGCACCATAGATTCTGCACGCGCCGTCCTGATCGAGTGACGCACATAGAACACGACCACGATGGCCATCGTGAACGCTGCTGCGGGAGCTGCGAAGTGGCGGGGACCGAACTTTGCCATCGCTCCAGAAGACGAGCTGGCACTGGCGCCGAAGCGGGTACGAGTTGCCCGTTCGCTGGTAAGATACTGCAGCTTCTGCAAATTGATCAGAAGTACACCGATGATGTTGACGCTGCAGCAGAATGTTGCAGGCTGCAGGAACAACAGCCGGTGTTTGGCCAGCACGGCCGTGCCAGTCGGCTGGTGGCTGTGCTACGCAGGTATTGCAGGTTCTCTTATGAGCGCTAGCGCCTGCACGATGCATGACAGGCGCTGCGCCGCAGGGGCTGGTTCCCAGCACTCGCGATATTATACGACTGCTGCGTGCTCTCAGCTGCTCGTTCTGTACCTTACCCTCAGCTGCGCGCTAGCATAAATATTGCGGGCCCGCCATGATTATCCCAGACTCGAAAGCACAACTCTTGGGAATGGGAGCCGAGCCGCAGGACAGGGAGCTGCCACCGGTGAGTAGGGAGGAAATAGGCTTGCTGCTTTCAGCGAAGGCTGACTGTTGCCTCGGTGAATAGCTGCCGTCAGAGACGTCGGATAACCCGCCTCCGTACGAGAGTGCTGGGCAGGACGCCGCGCCGGAGCCAGCAGTCGCGGGGCTCGATGTAGCCCCGACCAACAATCTGGTCATCCACACACGTCGCTCGCCGATCACCGGTATGCGTCTGCTTTATTGCATCCAACTCGATGGACTCACCCTGGACGCAGGTAAATTCCGCATCAACCCTGAGGACACAATCCCCTACGCCCCAGATTACCTCCGTAGAGTGAACAAACGCCGCTGCTACAAATCTCGGCCCACGCTGAACGCATCCTTTTACACCAAACATGCGCCCATCTCCCTTGACCTGGGCATAGTCAGCAGGTCGCATGAGAACATGACCTCGTTCGTCGAGGTCAACAGTCGGTCTGGGAACATTACTATCAATCTGGTATGTGAAGGGATTTTGTTTCGGAGAGATCTGGCGCCTAATAGCGCGGATGCAGTCCCTTGAAGCTCCAAAGCACATCAACCTGGATGTTTGGACGCGCAGAGGTGAGCAATCACAGCTCAGTCGCGTGATGTGGATCCTGCTCGCGATTGTGAGATATGATTCCAGAAATCCTGTGGATTTGTGGGATCGTATCTTCACGCGATGCGGACATTCGGGGGTCGACGCATTCCGATGACGTATATGTCCTCTGCGCGTGAGGGTCCTGTTCACGCGACACATCCGCTCTCCACCGAAGTGTTGCTGACTGCATCGCTGGGACATGTCTAGGCAACGTCGTCGTCTTCCTCCCGAAGAACTACTTCGGTGCCGTCAAAGTCTATTCCAAGCATGGGCAGATCCTGTTCCTCCCCGCGCTGTCGCGCGTCATGCGGCTCGCCAAAATGAACGAGCGCGACGCGATGATATTCGTCGGGCAGGCGGGTGCCAGCGATCCGCACCAGATCGAGGACAACTCGACGAAGCACGCGGACTTCTGTCAGCTTGCGTCCCGACACGGCGACGTGGTCGTGGGCCTGCGCGGGGAGGACACATACAAGCGGGAAGATAACGGTTTCTGGAAGAAATTGGGGACCTATCTGCGGGGGGAGGCGCTGCCAGTGCCACCTGCGCCTGCAGAGGTGCCGGCCCGACTGCACGTCTGATGAGGCTTATCTGTCGTTTGCATATATTCAGGATCACCCTCCCTCGCCCTGTATCATGTAATCTACAACGCTGCTGCATATGTACACCTACTTTCTGTGCTGATATATCTTCCTGTGCTCGACGATCCACAGCTGACCGCGAAACGTCCCCGAACTCCATCCAGGCGGCTCTCGAGCGACTTCCCGAGATAGTTTATCTAACCTCCGATGTCGTCGGGCGCCCATTCCAAGGGTCTCCCATCAGGTACCGAACCGACTGGCGGATCATGTATTCGTGCATGCCCGACCGCTTGGGCGTCACGGACATCCAAGTGGTATAAATGTGGGCGCGGGTGTCTGCACGGGCGTGAGTGATAATCCGTCTCCTGCACCAAGTGCTATGACTGACATGGACGTGCCAGGGTGTTTCGGGGGATTGTTGCACCCTTTCCGCAAGATCCTCCGGCCCAAGCCGAAGTGGCAAGAGGTTCAAGTTCCCACCGCCGGCGAAGATACACTCCAACAGCCTGTGGATACCAAACGTGCCGACCTTCAGGCAAGTGTCGTTTCTCGATGAAGTGCGCGACTGTCTTACCATTTTGTTATTGCAGAACGGCCCAGCGCCCCATTATCTCTCTTGCTGTGAATTTGGCTATGGATTTGACCATGACAACTTGTCGATTCTGGACCAGCCCCCTTCGTACACGCCAAAGGAGAGGTCCGCATATCGGTCCGATGTGTCGACCACTATCGACAGCATAATTGACCGATTGAATCCGGACCTCCGCGAACTGAGCCTTCAGATCCATGGCAAGCACGCCCACAACTGTGTCATCTGTATCAGTATTAAATCGAATCCCCATTAGATCACCCGGAAATCATGTTCCAGGAGAAGTGAGCGGTCCCTCTACCTTCTGCCAAATAACCGCTCAACCTTCCAGATATGCGCACGACACCCTGACGGCATTTATGGCTGACCACGGGTTTGCGGTGACCGAACATTACCTGGGCCTTGAGACCGCTTGGAAAGCCGAGTGGTCGAACGGCACCGGTGGCCGTGTCCTGGGGATTAACTCCGAGATGGACGCCCTGCCTGAGATCGGACACGCCTGTGGGCACAACTTAATCGCCATAGCTGGCGTGGGTGTTGCCCTCGCGATCAAGCACGCCATGCAGAAGCACGACGTCTCTGGTAAGATAGTGCTTCTGGGTACACCCGGTAGGTGCTCGACTTGCCGGACATGCAACCTAACTGACTCTTGATTATGCCTTAGCTGAGGAGGGAGGCGGTGGGAAGGTAATATTACTCGAGCGCGGCGGCTACGACGAGATGGATGCGTGCTTGATGTCCGCGCTACTATTCTCTGGCCATTAACGTCTGTCTAACTGCGTACCTAGGTGTCACCCGAGCCCAGGTCCCAAGTGCTCCGCGGCGATAAGTTCCTCTCTATCTATGCAGCCGATAGAAGTGGAATACTTCGGACATCCGTAAGTACCCTCCTGCCAATCGCGTCTGCGGCACCGAGCTCACCACCTCCCTAGCGCGCATGCAGCCGCGTTTCCCTGGGAAGGCACGAACGCCCTGGATGCCGCCGTCCTGGCGTACTCTGCGGTCTCCGTCCTGAGGCAGCAAATGAAACCCGACTATCGTGTGCATGGCGTCATCAAGGGGGGAGATCTAGCGGCCAATGGTACGCCGGGGTCTGACAACTATGTTCCTCCGGGTGCACTCAGCTCCCCGCAGTTATCCCAGACTACGTGAAAATGGTGTGGGGCGTGCGGACGCCGACGAAGGCGGAGCTGGAGGTCCTGAGAGATCGGGTCAAAGCCTGCCTGGAGTGGGTACCAAACTAGTTCGGTGTGGCCTATTAATCACACTCCACAGATCAGCCGCCGTAGCCACCGGTTGCAGAGTTAAACTAACCCTCGGGCGGCCTTATTATGACTTACGGATGAATAACGTCCTCGGTGCGAATTATACCCGCCCGTTGTAATACCATGTTCATTCTGACGCCCGGTAGGCCGCGAGTTCGAGAACGCCATGCTGCAGCATAACTTCCAGACCATGTCGGACGCGGGCGCCGCGAGGGCCTCGACGGATTTCGTACGTCCAGTGACCCGTTCATTATTTGCATCTGACGCGTCGTATTTCAGGGAAACGTTAGCTATGGCAAGTGACAGGATAACACCCTCCAGTCCTATACCCTAACGGCACAGATCTCACAGCGCTGCCGTCGCTTCATCCGCACTACGGTACGCCATCCGCTCATTGAGGATTTAATCTAATTCCCTTGCTCAGCGATCCCGACCGAGCCAAACGGCGGCAACCACACGGCAGCATTCACAGCGTCCGCACGAACCCCCGAGGCACACGCAGCAACCCTGACCGTGGCCAAGGGACTCGCCATGACCGGCTTCCGCGTCCTCGACGACGCCGACTTTTACGCTCAAGTCAAGCAAGACTTTGACGACATGAAAGCACAGTAGTAACGAAGTGCTCGATACTCTACTGCACACCTATGCTCAGGTATCGATCAAGCAGGACTTTGACGACATGAAAGCACGGTAACGATCCGCTCGACGACAGGCAATCTTGGTTTATGCCTCCCCCTCTTCTCATGCCGCTCAGCCGCACCACTCACCGCAGCCACGACATAGTATACCACAGCACAGCCTATCTATAAGCTATATTCCCCGTGAGAACGTATATATGTATGTATGTACTCCATCATGACTGCCACATTATACCAATCAGTGCACCACAACAGCAAATTAGAGCAGAAGTAAGCAGATCTAACATAGTTTAGCCTAGTAGAGAGTTGTCCGGGACGGAGACCACGACCAGAAAGCAACAGAGAAGCGGAAGGGGAGGACGCTCATGAGCTCGCCGCCTCCGCAGGCTGCTCTTTCGGCTTCAGGTTGTCCGAGACGCTCGGCGAGGGCGTGTGCTCCCTTGACTTGCCCGCGGCGCGCGCCTGTGCGCGCAGCTGGTGGTGCTTCGACTTGCCCTGCGCGGCCTCTGCGACCATTCTGCGCGCGCGAAGAAAAAAACATCAGCCCGTGTTATCAGACAGGCATGGACTGAGACCGCACCGCTCGAGCTCGCGCCGCTCCTCGTCCGTCTCGTCCGGCTGCGTCGACTTGAAGATCGCGCCGATCAAGAGAAGGCCCTGCAGTTACCGTTGTATTTTTCAGGCGCCCTAATTCAAGTCGCCAAACGAGCGCGACGCACCTTCGCCCTGTTGAGCAGAGTCTGCTCCGACGCGCCGGGCTCCTTCAGGACGTTGTCCACGACCTGTCTACCGCTGAGCACTGTACCACCCGGCTGATATAAGGTATCCGCGCGTACCTCACGTAGGACCTGCACCACTTCGAACCGCGTGCCGCGCCACGACGCGAGGAGGATCTTTCGCGGACGTCAGTCTTCTTGAAAGAGCACTCAGATAGTAAAGTTACCTTGCCCGTTACGTCCATCTCCAAGGCTCGCAGCTCCTCCTCGCTCGCGCCCTTCGCCTGTAACCTCTCCATATCCGCGATCAGCGACTGCACGCCGACACTTGCACACCCGCACCCGCTCGTCAGCATCCACTCAAGACACACCGAGACCGGGACACTCACGCGCTGCCGATGACGCCCCACGCGTCCTTTGCGACGGCGCCCTTCTCCTTCAGCCGTGACCAGAATCCGGGGCTAATGATACGGTGAGCGAATGGTATATTGGAGAGACGAGTGCCCGCTCACATCCCGAGGAACTTCCTCGACTTCATGAACGACGTCGCCTTCATGATATACACATTCCCGATCGTCTGCAGGAGCTGCTCGCGCGCGCGTCAGCTCCGCACCCGCCGCGCGCGCGCGCGAGTCCGCCGCTCACCTCGACGCCGAAGCTCTCGAGCTTCAGATCCTCCGCCTCGCGCCGCACGCGCTGCTCGAACGCGAGCGTCTCGGGGTCGCCGCGGTCCCCGGGGCGCTGCGCGTCGACGAACGGGCGCAGGCGCTCGACCAGCTTGCGCGTGAGGTCGTCGACGCGCGCGCGCATCGCGCGCTGGCGCTCCTCGTCGAGCTCCGCGAGCTTCCGCTTCTGCTCCGGCGTGAGCTTGCTCTTCTTCCGCCGCTCCTCCTTTTCCTCCTTCGAGAGGGGCTTCTCGGTGTCGTCCTTGGCGAGGTGCTTCGAGGAGGCGTCGGTCGCGGATGGCGTGGGGGAGAGCATGACCGAGTGGCGCGGGGTCCCGTTGGCGGCGGGCGAGAGCGGGGAAGCGCTGCGCGGCGGGGAGGAGGGCGCGGACGCGGAGGCGCTCAGCATGGCGGTGGCCGCCGGCTCCTCGGCGTTTGGCGACTGCACGGCGGGCGAGGCGCCGCCGTTGAGCTCCCTCTCGAACTCGGCCTTTTCTTCGTCGGTCATCATCGCGGCGGCGGTGGAGGTCATCTCTTTCATGAGGGATATCTCGCCGATCTGGTTGGTTTGGGTGGGGCGTGGCGTTAGAGTCAGTTGGATGGGTGTGGGAAGGGGTGCTGTACGTACGTAGTCTTTGAACCGCTCCCCGCCGAAGACGTTCGCGAAAAAGCCTGCGGCGTCGTCGACGCCAAAGGCGCCCTCTTTCTCCGTCTACACCCGCGTGAGGACGGGTTGATAGTTAGTTAGCGGAAAGGGGGAGTGCGCACCATCTTCTTTCCATGCTTGTCGTACACCGCACGCAAATTCTACGACGAGTCAGGACGTGTGGCGCGCATAAATGGGGGGAGGGGGTACGCACGGGATCGGAGAGGACCTGGTACGCCTTGCTGCACGGACGCGTCGAGGCTTCAGCCCTGCCTTGACATCCCTGAAGAGAGTGATTCACCTTATCTCCTTGAACTTCTCCTCCGCCTCCGGGGACTTGTTCTTGTCGGGGTGGTACTAGCGCAGCACAGCAGGATCAACGGGCCGCGCCGGGGCAGCGAGAGACGGGCGGGCGGACAGACCTTCATGGCAGCCTTCCTGTACCCCTTCTTGAGGTCGCTATCGGTCGCGTCCGGGGACACGCCCAGCTGCGATGCAGACATTAATCCCCTGTTCAGCCTTTGTGCACAATGCACTGCGGCGCACCAGGTCATAGAATTCCGTCTCGACGGGGGCCATGGCTGGGGAGATGGAATACGGAACGAGAGGTCGTTAGAGGACGTGAGCAAGCAGAGGTGTCTAAGAAATGAAGCAGGAGAACAAAAGATGAGGAGCAGCTAAGCCGCCCAAAATGGATGCACAGCGGCCGATCACGCAATGGCGTCTGCCGGGGCTGTTCGATGCACTGTCACTGTGTGTACAAGACAGTGGACTGCAGTGTATATGATACTTGCAGGCCCCATGTGATATCAGCGCGATTGACATATAAAGCCGGCCGCTTGCTCGCCCCCGCCATGGCCCTGCTGGCCCCCCTGCGCCGCTGCAGCCCGACGCTCCACACACTCGCCCGCAGCATGTCCTCGCGGCCCAAGGACTGGAAGAAGGCCGCCCCGCCGCTCGCCTTCGCCGGCCAGTCCGCCCTCCCCAAGCTCCCCGTCCCCGCGCTCCCCGCCACCCTCGCCCGCCTCAAGGACTCCCTCAAGCCGCTCGCCTGGACCGACAACGAGTACGAGCTCGCCGCCGCCAAGATCGACGACTTCGCCCGCGGCCAGGGGCCCGAGCTCCAGGCGCGCCTGCTGAAGCGCGCCGACGAGACGGAGCACTGGCTCGAGGAGTGGTGGGACGACGGCGCGTACCTCGGCTATCGAGACTCGGTGCGTATCCCTCCCATTCTGGTGCAACGAGTATCTCATTGGGAGCGCAGGTCGTGATCAATGTATCTTACTATTGTGAGCACGCGTCCCCTCACGAGGGAACCTGTTCTGAAGCCCGCGCGCAGATGGCTTCGACGACCCCCCGCCCCACCTCCCCCACACCCCCGTGTCCAGGGCAGCCGGCCTGACGCGCGCGGCGATGCTCTTCCGCCAACGCCTAAAGCAGGGGCTCATCAAGCCGGAAGCGACCAAGGAGGGCCCCCTGTGCATGGATACCTACAGGTGCGCGCCGTCTCTGCACGCTCACGTCTGATCCATCTTGAACGACGCGCACGATAGATGGATGTTCGACTGCTGCCGCGTGCCCGGCGCGGACGGGCTCGACTGGAGCGTCTCCTACGCGAAAGAAGGCGACACGGGCGACACGGGGCACGTCGTCGTCCTGCGCAGGGGCAGGGTCTGGCGACTCGACGCCGCGCAGAACGGGCGCATCCTCAGCACGGGTGAATTGGAGCGGTGCGTACCGCGCCCCGTGCTCCCTCACATCCTCACATCCTCACATCCGTATAGACAGTTCCAGCACATATACGATCAGACGACCGAGGAGTACCCCGGCGTCGGCGTGCTAACCTCCAACAACCGCGACGCGTGGGCCAAGGTCCGTCCCCCCTCTCTCCCCCAACACCGCACTAAACCCCTCCCTAGGACTACGCCACCCTCCTCTCCTCCCCGCACAACGCCTCGATCATCGAGACCATCCACTCCGCCGCCTTCCTCGTCTGCCTCGACACCGAGACCCCGTCTGGCCCGATCGAGCACAGCCGCTTCCTCTGGCACGGCGCCGCCCCGCCAGACGGCCCGCTCGGCCTGCGCAACCGGTGGGTCGACAAGCCCTGCCAGTTCATCGTGTTCGACAACGGCCGGGCGGGCTTCATGGGCGAGCACTCGGTCATGGACGGCACGCCCACCGCGCGCATGTGCGATGAAGTACTCGACGCGCTGTACGACCGCGCCTTCGACCACGGCGCGCCGGCTAATCAGGGCGTCAGCGTGCGGGGCCCGTCGCCGCTCGACTGGGACGTGTCGCCCGCGACGGAAAAGGCGATCGCGGCCGCCGACCAGGCCGCGCGCGCGCTGATCGCGACGCAGGCGCTCGCGTACCACCTCACGCCCTTCGGCAAGGCCGCGGTCAAGGCGTTCGGCGTCTCCCCCGACTCGTTCGCGCAGCTCGCGGTCCAGCTCGCGTACCTCCGCCTCGTCGGGTTCGACGCGAGGAAGCGCGGCGGGGGCACGTACGAGGCCGCGACGACGCGGCGCTTCGCCGGGGGGCGCACGGAGGCCGTGCGCGTCGTCACGCGCGAGTCGGACAGGTGGGCGTGGGCGATGGCGGATGCGCGCGTCGGCGCGGAGGAGCGCCGGCGGCTGTTCAGGGAGGCGGCGGCGCGGCATGTGCAGCTCGCGAGGGAGGCGGGGCGCGGGGAGGGCGTGGACCGGCATATGCTGGGTAGGTCGTGTTCTCCTCACCCGGGCGCGGGGCTCATGGTTCGCAGGGCTGAGGAAGTGTCTGCGCGCGGGCGAGCCGACGCCCGCGCTGTACGCCGACCCGCTCTTCCAGCGCTCGAGCCACTGGGTGCTGAGCACCTCCGCCGTGTGGTCGAAGCACTTCCCCGTGTACGGTTGGGGCGAGGTATGCATGTCTTTGCGTGCGCGGGTTGCACCGCTGACGGACGTGTTGTACAGGTCGTCCCCGATGGCTTCGGGGTGGCGTACATGACCGGGTACGATGGTGAGTAGCTCCGGGGTATCATTTTATGGGGATGTGTATTCACGTTCAATGTGCTAGACCGCCTGCAGTACACCATCACGTCCAGGAAGGAGGCGCCGAACGAAGAGTTCCGCAGGGAGATAGAGAAGGCTGCGCTGGATCTGTACGACTTGTTTGCTACGGAGGCAAAGACGCCCAAGTCGAGATTGTAAACTGTAGAACATTAGACGATATTTTTTGGGTTTCTTTCCTCCCGCCACACAGGCGCCAGTGCCGCTGCGGTCACGATCACCTCGAAGCCCGGCGAGTCACCGCCACTGGAGCAAGCCTTCTCGGGATTTGCCGAGACACGTCTCAGGCACGCGGAGTTTTTCGGGCCATGCCTGACCAAGGAAATTCATGCGCCTCTTCCCAACGCTCGCTTACCGCGCGGCCCCCTCCCTCGTCATAGCTCCCAGCGACCCCCTGCCTTTGTACGACGAGCGACACAGCGACGGCGACAACCGCACACGATGGCGAGCAAGGATCCCGCACACCACCCCCGCCGTCGGCACACGCGGACCGCCTCAGCCATCCTCATCCCCGACGAGCGATCGCGTGCCGCCCTCAACCTCCCCATGTATCCCGACACACCCACCACCGCGGGCCCGAGCTCGCTGGGAGCATCGTCGCCCGCCGCATCTTCTTCCAAGACGAGCAACACAGCGACAAAGATCATAAACTCCATGCGCAGGCAATTCACCTTTGTCAAGCGGCGCGAGGCGGACATCTTCGTGCGTATCTACTTTTTGCGTCACACACGCGCTGCGTGCCCGCAGCTATTCTAACCAACACGTACAACGCAGACGCGCGGCGGGCGCGGGATGTACTCGACGCCGGAGGAGCGCTCCTCGGTGACGGTGAAGCCCTCCGTGCTGCGCTACGACGACCCCGACACGCGCCCGACGCCCGAGCAGATCGCCATGGGCCTCCACCTCTCGCGCACGCCGCACATCCGCCCGCTCGGCGCGTCGCAGTCCCTCCCCGCCGGGCCCGCGACGCACGTCCCCCGAATACACGGCGCATACTCCCGCCGGCCGTACGCGCATTCCAACCGCTCTGCCTCCCCCGTCCGCCCGCCGCCGCCGCCGCCCCCTCGCTCTTCCCTGCGGGCGCCAGGAGCACGAGACACGAGTGGCTCGGCCTCCCCGACGACGCCCGTCCCGCAGACCGCGTCGACGGCGTCCCTCTCCGGGTCCACCGCGACGTCCACAGCACCCTCCACCCCGCGCTCCTCGCGCGCATTCTTCCCCCTAAAGATCGTCGGCATATCCAAATTCCTCACCAGCTCGCGCGCCTCGTCCATATCCGATTCCTCATCCGCCAGGTTCGGCGTCACCGTCGCCGCCGACTCGTCCTCGACGTCGACCGAGGAGTCGTCCCGGCACTCGCGCAGGAAGAGCGTGCGGTTCACCGACTCGTTCTCCTAGTCTCTCGTATTTATCGCACTTTGTACATCAGCGTCCGTCAGGTGCATTATTTTCTGCAACCCGGGTTACATAGAGGTCCCATCGTCTGCACATCGCTGTCTCAGAACATCCAAATCTCACACTGCAGTCATACCATCCCATCCATGCGCTTGTGTCAAAGACTGATTCGTAGACGTACGCATTCTCGCACATGCCCCTTAAGTAGACACGTCTGCCCGTCCCATTTAGACCCCAATGCCCCGCAATGGATCCATAATAATCATTCACATTTCCTCCAGCAGATGTCGAGAAACTCTAGAAAAATATAGAAATTACGAATAGTGGTATGGTGAGATTCGATGGATATAAGAGTCCCTAGAACATGTCCTAATAATACCACAAGAATCGTTTAAAATAGCGATCCACCGAGGACGAGGACGCTCGCAGCCAGGATGATGCTCAGTCCCGGGATGGCGTGCTCAATAGCCCCTCTGGATGCGCCGGATGTGTTTGATCCGTTTCCTCGCGAGGAGCTAGGCGAGCCTGAGGTGGCCGCAGAGGTATCGGAGTTAGCGTCTGAGGTGTTGGTATACGGGAACGAGGTGTTGGTCGTGGTCTCCCGATAGAGGTCGGTCACGGGGATGTCGCTGCAGTCGCCGATGGCTTTCAACTGCGAAATAAACGATGAAGGGTCAGATTGATCAAGCATAATACAGGAGGGACATACGGTGAACGGCGGGTTGTGGTTCATGGCGGCGTCGAGCGTGTAGCCGGTAGCAAGCTCTACGGTGATCTGATACAAGTCGTGCTGCAAGACGATGAAGCTAAGAGCATCGCCGTCAACGTCTGCACCCGCGTGAAAAGCCACAGTGGTCCGCACCCAGTGTCCATAGTCGAGGCGTTACCGAGGATTCCCTGGAAAGTCTCGAAGGACTGAGGCCCAGTGACGAGACCACCAGCGACACGCCAGTCTACGCAGCACAGCATGTCAGCCTCGCTAGTAATATACTGCAGTCCCAGTTTTCCAATCCTCACCATTGGTGTCAAAGGGAATGCCCGAAGGGCTGCTGGTCCAGATGATGGGAACCATGCCCATGGCCAAAGAAATGGCACGAACACGGTCATCTACTTGGCGTGAGCAGGACATCCCGATGGAACGAATGCATGTGGGACGCACCAATGTCACCGTAGGGAGGGCGCATGGTCGTGGGGGTAATCCCGAGGACGGTCTTGATCGCCTTGCGCGTCCAACCGAGCTCGGCGACTATTTGCTCATTCGTCAAGGAGGTCAAGGGCTGCATCGAAACTCGTAAGAGGGGATAGAGACAAGCAATGCGGTCCACATACACGGTGGGACCAGGTGTGGACGCTGATTTCATGGCCGGACATGTACTCTTCAACCAGGACTTGCGGCCTTTCGATAACTCGGGAGCCGACAACGAAGAAAGTGGCCTTCAGGTCCTTCTGGTCTAGGTAGTTCAACAGAGTTCTGCGGAAATTTAGTTGATTAGCACTCGGGAAAAACCTTGTGGGGGAGCTTACTGGGCTGGAGACAGCGACGGAGAACATTACTCGTTAAGTAAGGGATCTCAGCTGTAGTAGAATAACATGTAACATACTGTAAGGAGAAGGACCATCATCGAAACTATAAATAGGGTGTCATTAAATATATAACGCTGCTGTGTATGGCAGAGACTGCGCACCTGACACCCCAGGTCATCTTGTCAGGGCAAGCAACGATATCGGTCGGTCTTGTGTGACCGCCACAGGTCCACCAGCCACGGTTGGCAGCATCTGCTGCAGCAGCGGGATCCCCGACGCAGGAACCGTCGGCGCTAGGGGTCAGGTCCGGGATGTCGAAGCCGTCGAGCTCCTTCAGCCACTCCTTGACCTCATCAGTATCTGTCGACGCGCTCTCAGCACGGCCAATGGAGGCGGACACGAGGAGCACATACCAGTCTCAGGCACCTTGTCCTGAGCCGGCCACGTTCCGGGCTTGAATACGACTTGAAGTGCCCGCATTAGTCCCGATGCATCCACCGACCAAGAAGTAACTCACAGGGAGTGGGCAGAACAGGGGCGCCCGAGACTGGAGGCGAGGCGCCGGCACTGAACGTCGTGGGGACGGCCAGCGTTGGGAGCGTCGGCATGCCAGACGTTATCGAACTCAAAGGAAGAATGTCGGTTGCCGCATACGTGCCAACGGGCGCTGCAGCGGCGCTGGTCGCGGCGCCGGCAGCGCTGGTGGCAGCACTGGTGGCAGCGCTGGTAGCAGCGCCGGTAGCAGATGTACTGCTCGAGGTAGCGCCCGCCGCCGAGGTTGCAGTCGTAGACGAGCTGGCGGGAGCCTGTCGCTTGTTGAGGTGAGCATGGCGTCCCTTGAACTCGCGCGCGTTCGTCACGCTGATGAGGGTCAAAAGAGCGGCCAAAGCTTGGAGCTTCATAGTGATGGTAAACGAATGACGGGGGTAGGAAACGACCAAGGCGTCAATAAAACGGAAAAGGGGACAACGCCCAGAGGCTGAAGGTGACAGGAGGAAAGGTCCAAGCGTCGTGATTTCGCCTAAATGTCGCTGCCTGTCGTGCGAAAAGCCGCCCTCGCCAAGCCTGTCGGCGAGCACGGCTGCACCTTCGTCGTCGTGATGGCATTCACATCTTCTGCAATTACAGAAAACTTATATTATACCGCTATGTCTGCGGTGTGCTATGTTGTTCAGGTGCAACGATACAGATGCATGTAGGATATATGTGCGTGCTAGAGCGACAAAGATGAGGCAAACAAGAAAATGTAAACAGATGATAGAACAGGGCCTGATCGACCACGTAACAATAAACGCTACACAAAACCTAGAAAGCACGAGGAACATACATGTGTCATCGAGGCACAGAGACCATAGACGCGTTGTCGGATATGGGCGGCCCCGCCATCCTGATAGCCATGACTCGGTCGTCAGAAACCATGAGTATCTCGTCCCGCCCAAAGGCGTGGTGCCTCTGGCTCGGATAGGGCGAATACGTGCTATGGGCGCTGCCGATTGATTGTCGACTCCCGTAGGCGTTTGGATAGGGCTCGTACCCGTACCCCTGGTATGGGTTATAGTGGAGTTGACTCGACGTATTCGTGGTTGAAGGTGGCGTATCAGCGAAAAGGCATCGCAAATTATTCCCCTGGATGACCTGGGCCATGGAACCAGTTTCAACATGACGGATCTCCACAAAGGTGGGCTCGAAAGCAAGAACATATGGGTAGCGTAAGGCTAGAGCACAGCTATCAGTCCAGTGGCCCATATACAACAAAAAACCACCAACCAAACCCAGTCGGCACTCCTTCCCAGTGCACCATGAAGTTCTTGCGCGACCGCCATCCATTTTTGTTGACGTAGAAAGCGAATTCTGCGCAAGACATATCAGCCAACGGGAACTTCCTCAACGCATCATACCCTCACCATCATAGCACAGGAGGAATTCGTTGTCTATTCGGTAGATGGCCATTGGCTTGAGGTTCTCTCTCTTTAAGACAAATTCGAGAGATTCATCCGCGGGATCCAGGAGACCCTGGGTATCCAAGCTCTCCAGATCCACAATCTCGAAGCCCTTGGTGCAGCCAACACATAGCTTCGTCTTCAAGAAGTGGATAGAGCTCGACTCCACCGGAATATAGAACTCCTGTGGTCCGAGTCAGGCAGCGAACATACCTCGTATCACCTGATACTTACCTTGAAGACCCGAAGGGTATCATGCCCGCCTTGCAGGAGCTTCCGGAAAGTCGGCTTACTCCTACCTCGCACATTCTGATCGATAGGTTCCAATGTCTTGATTGTGCTGGACAGTGGGCTCGCCTTGACAACGCAAACTAGGGTCTTTCCTAAGCACACGCCGGCTTTGAAGAATGATGTGTGGGACGATATTCTCTTCGCCCGCTTCAAACCCGCCATGGGATCATTAGGGTCCAGCGCTTCCAAGGGGAACGTGATGACTTGACGCTCAGAAAGAACGATAAGAAGCTGGAACTCCTCCAGAATATCAATCTGAGAGACATCCAACAGCGCGAGGACCTTGACGGGGTCTTGGGTGGCCTCGAGACTGGACATGTAGACGCCGTCATCAGTGCCAAACACACAACGCCTCCCACCGTCTATGGAGTAATATCAGTCCGGCCCTAATTCATCAGGTATGCATACTCACTGAACGGCGCAGCGCAGTTAACTTTATTCGGTCCAACAAAAAAGCCTTCACTCAGCGTGACAGTATCAAACACCAAGCTGCGCTCCCGCATGATCTCCTGCTGCTTCGCGATATGCTCAACCCACTTGCGCTGGCTGACATACGTACTAGCCCAGAGCGTCTGCGAATAGTACTTGCGTCCCAGATGCACGAAAGTAATAGCATAGCCGCCCTTGCTATCGACCTTGATGGGGAGCGCGGGCAGGTTGGATCCGCTCTTGGTGAAGGAGTTCTTCTTGGCCAGGCCCTGTTTACCCTTACCCTGAGGCTTCGCGGTCGCTCCCGAGTCGTCAGCAGCCGAGACCAAGAGAAGCTCCAGTGGTATTGGCTATCGCATACGTCAGACATGGGAACAACAGGACAGTCTCTTACACTCTTGCACTCACCCGTCGGTATACTTTGTACTGCTCGTGCTTTGTCTTCTGCTTCACCATTAGTAGCGCGTGATCGAACAAGAATACCAGCAGCTCGCCCCCATCGCCCTGCGTACCACCACGCTTCTTCAGCGCGCCTTTGAAAACAAGTTCTCGACCTTCTTCCCGCAGTCTCAAGTCCTAGTGTAGAGCGAGAGAATAAGCAATGCTATTTCAAGTTTGAATTTTGACCACCCACCACTTCCTCGCCCGGTCGGAACACGAGCTGCTGGTCCAACTGCAGGAGATTGAAACGGTTCTCGGTCTTCCCAGACTCTATGTTCACTTTGCTCAAGAACTCCTTCACAAGAGCAATAACTTGGGGCAGTGTGGTCTTGTCAGGATTGTCATCCGGTGTGTGCTTCAACACGGCTTCCAGGAGGAGAGGGTATCTTGCAAGCCGTGTCGTGGGTTTCGTCAGGTATCCGTTGAGCTCCAACTTGCGAGACTCCGGCAGTCGCTCCGTTTGCTACTGTGCATGAGCAGCCGTCAAAGCTTTTAGAGCGAGAGGAAACATACCTCAACAAACGCAGCAAATGCGGGATTGGAGCTCTTCTCCTTCTCAAACTCGTACTTCCCGTATAGCTGGTGAGCACCATACGAAACAAATGGCCCGAAATGAGGAACAGCATCCAGAAGGATATCCCCTATACGTTCCACAACCGCGTAGGACTTCTGACGCTTGTTAAGAGCATCCCGCAGCCGGGTGTTGACAGCGATGATATCGTGTATGTTCCAAAACACTTGCTCCAGGAAGTCCGTACGGCGGTGTTCTGGGATGACATCCGACTGCTTCAAGGGGTTGATCCACGCCTACACAGGCATCGTCAGAGTACGTCATGCAACCTCCAGAAAGTAATAACACACGTCTCGGAGATACTCCATATCACGGACGAAGTCACGCTCGGTATAGATTACCTCGTTGATGGCCTCCTGTCGTTTCTTCTCCGTGTCCGTAACGCTGTCCACCACCTCCTTCGGCACTGAATGTATCCACAATGTCCCAGGTTCCTGAAGATATGGCATGTCATATAACGAGACTCTTCGCTCCACTCGCGCAGCCACAGCGACAGAGTGTAGCTCAAATGTATGCTCACCACAAAGTCACCCAGGGACTCCTTACTGATCTGCTTCTTCAGCCCTGGCTGAGGCTTCATATTCAGTCGAGCTTGCTGCTCTAATCGCCTTGGACATGCTATACTATAGCAAAGCTGATCACGCGAACACGTTGGTGAATAACAGTCTGTCAATAACGTAAAGACACCAGAAGGAAGCGCGACTTCGTCGGAAGAGTCTGTATCAGCTTCAGGTCGTGTCTGCGGCGTAGCGGGGTAAGGCGTCGTCGGGGATCCAGGAGGAGGGCTGCCGTCCCTATTGTCGCCAGCTTCATTGGACGAGCCTGTGTCAGGATACTTTCCAGAAGCATGACGGGAGCGACGTTCGTTCGTACCATTACGTTCTGCAGCTTTCCCATTCGGCACACCATCCTCTTGTGCTGCGTTTCCATCCATATTGGCCAGTTCGCCACTGGTAAACGGGCTGGGCAATTTCGTCCGAAACTGGTACAACTCGTTCGGATTGTCTCGCAACCGATGGTCGTACGTAACATCGTGAAAGAACTTCTGCGCGTCCAGAGCGCGTCCGAGCAGCAGAGCTAGGTTTCTGTCCGTAGTCTTGATGATATACGCGATCTTGTCGACCGCTTCGCGTCCGTCGAATGCATCCTTGTACGTCAAGCCGTCCTTGATTCTATCGGAGACTTGTATTCGTTCTCGGAACGCTTGCGCCACTTTTGATAAAAGAGCAGGGTATACTATGGGTGTCCGCCGCGGAGCGTGACTCCTGTGATTGGTGGGAGAGTTCCGCCCAGCGCCAGCGGGACCAGGTATAGGTGGTATAGGCGGTCGGGAGCTGCGAGAGGGCCCGTTCTCGAGCATGGCCCGCACTTGGGGAGTCATCGCAGCTGACATGGACCGCGAGCGATCCTGATTGGTGCGCTCCCGGCGGTAAGCTGCGCCGGGCATTGTTCTGGTAGATTCGGAGGAACGGCGTGAAGAGGAGGTGAAAGTGCCTGACTCGCGAGAGTCGCGGTCCACAGGGTCGACCAATGTCGACGACGCAGGTGAACTGCTAGTGGGTCGGGGTGGCGCCGCTTTCAGAGCTGTATCCAGCTGTAAAGGATAGGGACGAGATGAAGTGGACGCGACAGGCCCTTGATTAGCTTGGGAGGAGGACGAGGTAGCTGCTGCGTATGATCAGCAACTTCAGTAACCCCAGATCATGTACGACGAAAGGAAACTCACGGGGGCGATCCGTGCGTGCCCAAGGCAACTCGGTGCTACTCTCGTCGGTCGACCCATCTGCAGCCCAATCTATTCCTAGCCGCCCGTTGTCCGTTTCGATGTTGACCGGTATTCGCGGGACGCCCTCCGGTGCAGTCCCGTTCTGCGACGCCGCCGACCCGTCTGTCGCGAGCGGGTATGTGTATCGGTTGTTAGTGCCTTGCTGAGCGAGAGGGCCGTTCATGTAGACTTGCGCCTGGTACGCTTGGGCAGCAGTGAGCCCGGCGCGCTGCAGGGCCTCCAGATTGTCGTCTGGCGGCTCATCTGGCTGGGGAGCGATTACCCCGTGAGAATGGCTCGAGCTCGCAATCGACCGGGCACGAGAATGGACAGAAGGAGGGGCCAAAGACCTAGGCTGGGCATACGCAGACCCGCCGTTATAAGGATACGCTTGGTACTGAGGGTATTGCTGGGGCTGGGACGGGCCTGCAGGATAATAGGACTGCCTGTACGCCGACGGAGGCTGTTGAGTCGGTTGCTGGAGGTAAGCTTGGGGAGAACCGTAGGCCGAGACATACGACGGCCGCCGCTCTAGCTGGGTCTGGTACTGGTAGGCCTGCTGGCCGCTGTTGACCTGCAGATACGGGGCGTTCGGGTAAGGCTGCTGAGCGTAGGGCGCGCCCGGAGCTTGGTGATGGTTAGCGCTGGGCCGGCCAAAGATGGATTCGTAGGCAGCAGTGCGTTTGTCTGCAGGCTGTCGGGGACCGAGCGGCCTGTCCATCGCGGACGACGGCGAGGACGACGAGGAAGGCGTAGTCAGACGGCGCAGGCGTGGTGGACGAGTGGTGCAGGATTATAATAGTCGGTTGGCACACCGGCGCGGCAGCGTCAACGCCTGATGCAGTAATTCCCTAAGCCGTCGCTGCTTGTCTCAAACACCGCGCATTTCTTGTCTTGTGTTCTGTCTACTCTGGACGTCATTACAGGGAGCGCTGGTACACTAGTCTGCGTCATTATTTCTTCTAAACGGGGAGAATAAACAGCAGGAGCGTTCAAGTTTCGGATGAGACGACCCGGTCCTGACGGACGCTCGCAGACACCATCACATGACAACACCTCCCAACTGGCGTCAGAGAAAAACATCAAAACTCCTGCATGATCCTGCAGGCAGCTCCGCAAACCGACCGCCGGGTGCCTGGCTTTCTGTCGTTGTCGCGGGGATGTCGGCGAGCACCCCTGACATCCCACAACTTGGCAGCACTAGGCTCAATGTGTATCGCCAGACCCACGGATCCCTGCCGCGTTGGCTGCGTCGTCGTACTCGCAGACAGCAAGGGCATCTGATGGCAGACGGATTTAGCCCGGGCGATATCACGAGAATGGGGAGAGACTTTGTCGCATGCGAAGATACTCAAACCACAAATCGAAGATAAGACCGCCACCCCTTCCCGCCTGCTTCGCGCAAAGTGGGCCCGGAGAAGACAATTACTGACGGAAGCCTTTCTCCAGTAGGATCTGGACGAATCTTTGGTATGAGGCAGATAACGTACGCATCACCACGAGGATTTGTGGTGATACTCTCTGAACTCGGGACCTGGTCCAACGGATGTCCTAGGGTGTCCTCCATACTGAATTAGGAACAGAGCAGCACCAGCATCATTTACCACAACATTCCCGGTGGAAGGTGAAAGCAGTGCACTTACTGCGACTTGATGCAGTCCCGGGCCCCGGCACTAGGACGAATAACTTGGATACAGGCCTGATTGCGGCTCAATTTATGGTACCATCGCGCTGTAGTGTAAGATAATCCAGTAGCATCACATACACGCACATGCACTTTCATAGAACCTAGGAATAGAGAGCGACTGCTGCGAAATAGAGGCACCCAACCGCATGGAGGACTTGATAGACCAGCCTCAGACGCCACACCGGGGTGGACACACAAGGACACACAGGTCTTGCACGTGCCTCATCTAACGCGATCTACGCCAGTAGACGCCAGTTACGCGGCCAAGGCTCTCTATTCTGTTCAGCCATGTCCTCTGCCGCTTCTTCAGGTCAGGCAGACGACCTTGGGCTGATTTTCCAAAATCTCAAGTCGCGCAGCGCGGATGTCCGGTTACAGGCCGCGAAGGAATTGCGACGCTATGTACGTTCTCACATGCATTGCGCATTGCAGTACTTACGCACCATGTACAGGTCTCGAATACCGTCGCCGAGATGTCCTCGGACGCTGCAGCCAAAGTATGGGACGATACCATTAACAGGAGGCTGTTCGATCTGGTGCACGGCCAGAATAACTGGGAGAAGTTGGGAGGGATAACAGCCATCGGTGTGTGACCTTGCCCTCGTCCCTCCGGCCGCGTACTAACCACACTAGACCACCTGCTGGATGTCGAGGGGGAGGATATCGAATCCCGGAGGAACCTCTTCCGGTTCTACAACTATGTCAAGTTCCTCCTCCCCAACTCCGACATCAACGTGATGCTCGCCGCCTCCAAGACGCTCGGCCAGATAGCAGAAATCGGCGGGGCGGCGTTCGGCGAGCGCTTCATGGAATTTGAGGTCTCCGCCGCCATCGAGCTACTCCAGTCCGACAAGCAGGAGCCAGGCCGCTACGCGGGCGTGCTCATCTTGAAGGAGCTCGCACGGCACAGCCCGATATACTTCCACTCGCACATTGGGGTCGTCTTTGATAAGATCCTCGTGCCCCTGCGGGACTCCCGAGTGATTGTTAGGGAGGGGGCCGCCGAGCTGCTGGCTGCATGTCTGGAGATAGTGATGCAGCGCGAGAGACAGACCTTCAGCCCGTATCTCCTGCAGATCTTCCAGGATGCTCAGCTTGGCTTGAAGATGAGCCAGCCGGAGGTCATCCATGGGTCACTCCTGACCTACCGCGAACTGCTGTTACACGGCGGAATGGTTCGTCACAGTCTCAATAAACGGCGCATTCCTCGTTCATTTGGGCTGACAAAATGCTTCGTAGTTCATGAAAGAGACGTTCCTGGATACTGCGGAACAGATCTTGAAGTTTAGGTCACACCGAGATGCGCTGGTGCGGAAGATGGTGATAACACTGATTCCCACTCTCGCGTCGTACGACACACAGACATTCTGCGAACACTTCCTCCACAAAGCCATGAGCCATCTCTTGACACAATTGGATAAGCCGAATGAACGGTCTTTTGGTATGCCGTCGTGATATTGCCACCCTGGTTCGGTCGATTAGAGACTGAAGCGCTTTAATGCAGCGTTTGTCGCTATCGGACACGTTGCAACTGCCGTTGGAAGCGAGATGAAACAATTTCTCGAGCCCATTATGGCACAAATCAAGCAAGGCCTCCAAAATAGAGGGTAAGCAGGCGATCGCCCGACGCATGTGCTTGCGCTCATCTATGCCACAGGAAGAAGAATGCTCCTCCAGAGGAAGCGCTCTTCCAATGCGTGGGCATGCTGGCTACGGCCGTCGGGCCCAACTTGACCAAGTTGCTACATGACCAACTGGATTTGATGTTCAGCTGCGGACTGAGCGAGCCATTGCGACAGGCGCTTGTGGCCATTGCTCGGCACATAACCCCGCTTCTGAAGACTATTCAAGGTGCGTATGTGAGATGCCACATATGGAGTGGCTGTCTCATGCAGCCAGTTAGACCGGTTGCTGGATATGCTCTCCCAAATCCTCGGTGGACAGCCTTACAGGCCTCTAGGAGCACCACCCTCCCTTGTTCGCGACGTGAGTGCGTCAAAGGATGCGAATGGAGCCCAGGTACGGAGGCGTTTGCTATAATGTGTGCCCTAATATCGACGTACTCTCAGCCTGCCGGCACGGCAAAAACCCCAGAACTTATCACGTTGGCGCTGACAACCTTAGGCACTTTCGACTTTAGCGGTAAGTCCGCTGCCCCGGTTGCATGATATCTCCCTTACCCGAGCAATGCAGGTCATGTATTGAACGAGTTCGTGCGCACTTGCGCCCTGCCGTACTTGGAGGACGACCATCCAGAAGTCAGGCGGGCGGCTGCTTTGACGTGCTGTCGACTCTTCATTCGCGACCCCATCTGCTACCAAGCCAGCAATCATGCCATCGAGGTCATCAGCGACGTTCTCGACAAGCTTCTGACTGTGGGGATCGCTGATCCAGGTACGTGGATGTCTCATAGCTCGTAGCATGGTGAACTTTATGCTGTCTATAGATCCGACCATCCGTCAGACGGTGCTGTCGTCGCTTCATGAACGTTTCGATAAACATCTGGCACAAGCAGAGAATGTGCGGTCGTTGTTCATCGCGCTCAACGATGAAGTGTTCAAAAATCGAGAAATTGCTGTTGGGCTCATAGGCCGATTAGCGATGCATAATCCTGCCTATGTCATGCCTTCGTTGAGGAAAGCGCTTATCCAACTATTGACAGAGTTGGAGTATTCCACTGTAACGTGAGTTGTACCCTGCCTTCTCTTTGTCTGTGCTCACCAAGGGCGATTTCACTGCAGCCGAAGCCGAGAGGAATGTACCCGACTCCTGACGTCTCTCATAGCGGCTACGCAACGACTCATCAAACCATATGCTGTCCCGATGTTAAGAGTCCTTTTACAGAAGGCTAACGATGCGAACGCGAGCGTCGCCGCTAACGTCATCATGTGTCTCGGGGAGCTGGCTTGCGCTGGTGGTGAAGATGTTCTTCCTCACGTTCCTGAGCTTATGGAAGTCATCATTGCCAAACTGTCTGATCCATCGTTGGCCAAGCGAGACGCGGCGATCTGCACGCTGGGTCAAGTGTGCTCGAGCACTGGATATGTTATAACTCCACTCGTGGATTATCCGCAACTTCTCCCGCTGCTGGGTAAGATTTTGAAGACGGAACAGGCTCCGCATGTCAGGAGAGATGTTGTCAAGGTCCTGGGTATTCTAGGTGCACTGGATCCGTACCGGCGAAAGGTGGGTGGCTGAGAACGGGTAAGGGATCTACGCGCGAGGTTTCTCATGAATTGTTTAGACTAGGCCAGGCGATGAAGCAGGAGACGAGAAGTCTGTGGCAGCGGTTAATGCCATCCCGCTCACCCAGAGCAACACGACTGCCGCGTCTGATGATTACTACCAAACCGTGGTCATCAATGCATTGCTCAATGTGCTCAAGGATCAGTCTCTCAGCAGTCATCATCATACCGTAATCGAAGCAATCATGTCTATATTCAAGACGCAGGGTCTGAAATGTGTCACATTCTTGCCTCAAGTGAGATATGTCCCTTCACACCAATGATCTGATTTTCTGAGATAAATTATAGATTATCCCTGCGTTTGCACTAGTCACTAGAATCTCTCCCGCGAGAGTTCAAGACTTCCATCTACAGCAGCTTGCTATTCTTGTGGGTATAATCAAGCAGCACGTTCGGAATTACACACCCGAGATCTTTGGCTTGATCACGGAGCTATGGGACAACTCGTCCTTGCATCTGCCAATTGTTTCCTTGGTGGAATCCCTGGGTAAAGCTCTGGATGCTGAATTTAAGCCCTTCCTCCCGACTATCTTGCCTCTCATGCTCAAAGTCTTCGATGGCGAACTAAACGACAAGAGATCCAACACGCAGATGAAAGTATTCGACGCATTCCTTACGTTTGGGGCTAACATAGAGGAGTATCTTCATCTTGTTATTCCAATTATCGTGAAGACCTATGAGCGACCTGAGGCACCTACGGGGCTGCGGAAGCGGGCCATACAGACCATCGACGGTTTATCGCGGAAGGTCAACTTCTCTGACCACGCATCTCGGATCATTCATCCGTTGAATCGCGTCCTGGCCAGCGCCAGCAACGAGTTAAGGATGACAGTCATGGATACGCTTTGTTCTCTGGTCGTGCAGTTGGGCTCCGACTTCGCCATTTTTGTGCCCACGATAAAGAAGGTAGGTTGACCCTCCCTCTGTGCAATCCCTGTAGAGTCTAAGATGCTCGGTTATAGTGCATGGTCAAGCATCGCATCACCCATCCGAAATACGAGAATCTCATCTCCAAACTGTTAAACGGTGAACGCCTGCCTCAGGAGGCTGGAGTCCTGGAAATTCTGTGTGTCAATCTCCTACCTCTCTAGTCAAAGACCGCTCACTGTTCCATTATATAGGATGAATGAAAGTTCTAAGGCCGCCGAGTTCTCCGCGCCTGCGGAAGCATCTAAGATGACAGTGAACCAACAACATCTCAAGCAAGCTTGGGACGTGTCGCAAGTCTCTACCAAGGACGACTGGAACGAGTGGATGCACCGACTGTCTGTGGAGTTCATGAAGGAGTCTCCGTCTCACGCACTTAGGGCATGTATGAGCCTTGTGGATATTCATCAACCCCTCGCCAAGGAACTATTCAACGCGGCATTTATTTCTTGCTGGAGCGAGCTCTACGACCAGTACCAGGTATTTGTTTTCATTTCTTATTTGTACTCGTATTTTCTCACAAGAGTCGCAGGAAGACCTCGTGCGCTCCATTGAGTATGCTATCACATCCAATACGGCACCTTCCGAGTTGATTCATCGTTTGCTGAACCTGGCCGAATTCATGGAACACGAAGAGAAGCCCCTCCCTATAGAAAACCGTACCCTTGGGGAGTATGCTATGAGATATCATGCCTACGCGAAGGCACTGCACTACAAGGAACTGGAGTTCTTCTCGGAAACATCCCCTACTATCATCGAAGCACTGATAGGTATCAACACCAAACTCCAGCAGCATGACGCGGCTTGGGGAACTTTGCAGATTGCTAAGGAGCAATACGACGTAACCAAGCATGAAGAGTGGTACGAACGATTGGGACGGTGGCAAGAAGCTCTAGTCGCCTACGAGAAGAAGGCGGAAGAAGATCCCGATGCGCCTGATATCGCTATTGGAAAGATGAAGTGCCTGCATGCGCTCGGCGAATGGGATCAGCTTGCAGCACAAGTCGAGGAGAACTGGGCTAATGCAAGCCACGAGGATCGCCGGGAAATTGCACCGATGGCAACTGCCGCTGCGTGGTCATTGAATGAATGGGATTCGATGGAGGATTACATTCAGACGATGAGGAGTGACTCTGCTGATCGCGCATTCTACAAGGCCATCCTCTGTGTTCACCAAAACCAATTCCCCAAGGCACTAACCCAGATCACGAAGGCTCGCGATCTTCTAGATCCTGAGCTCACGTCCTTCGTCGGAGAGAGCTATAGCCGGTCTTACAAGTGAGCGCTTTACAGTGGCTGCCTGACAGATTTACTGAGTAATCCTAGTACGATGGTTCGAGCGCAGATGCTATCCGAGCTTGAAGAAATCATCCAGTACAAGCAATACGCTGACCAGCCTGATCGCCAGCGGACTATGCGGAAGACCTGGATGAAACGGTACGCCGATTACTAGCCTGCACTCAGCGTCTAATTGAAGTGCCTCAGACTGCAAGGCTGTCAGCCAGACGTCGAGGTTTGGCAACGGATACTGCAAGTTAGGACCCTTGTTCTCAATCCGGAAGACGATCCCGTAATGTGGATCAAGTTCGCAAATTTATGTAGGAAGTCAGACCGAATGGTCCTGGCTGAGAAAACCCTGAACTCGCTCTACTCCGTTGATCGCGTATGTCTCAGCTCCCGTTATTGGCAGCATAAGCTTGATGGTCTCATCTAGCCGCAGTTCCTTCGGGATCATCGGCATGTCAAGGCACCACCGAATGTCGTTTATGCTCAGCTCAAGTTCATGTGGGCCAACGGCGCTCGAGAAGAATGTCTCAACTTCTTGCACGAATTCACGAACAACCTTGCCAGAGATCTTCAACTGGAAACGAGTGAACGTGGGCAGCGACCTGGCGTCTCTAAGCAGAAGCTTGACGAGTTATCGAGATTGCTGGCGAGATGTTACTTCAAGCAAGGCCAATGGCAGGCCGAAGCTCAGGATGGCTGGGAATCGGTAAGTCTCCCTCGCTTTGCTGACGTTCGTTGCGCTCACCTCTCCGGGCCTTCGCAATAGAGGAACATCAAGGAGATATTGCACTCATACCTGCTTGCTACTCACTACGACTCCACGTGGTATAAGGCCTGGCACACATGGGCACTAGCCAACTTTGAAGTCGTGGGTTATCTGGAAAATCAAGAGGAGACGAGAACAACAGATGTCGTAGGGACCGGCCTGGTTGCCCATATTGTCTCTGCCGTCCAAGGTTTGATCGGTGAACTATAGGTTGCTGAGTTATTGACTTACATGAGCTCTTCTCCAGGGTTCTTCCGCTCGATAGGTCTCAGAAATGAGAACGCTTTGCAAGACACGCTGCGGCTCTTGACCCTTTGGTTCAAGTACGGTGCGCATGACGATGTTAGTCATGCCATGGGCAGTGGATTCGCAACTGTGGAAGTCGACACGTGGCTGGAAGTCATACCGCAGGTCATTGCCAGGATCCAGACGCCGAGTGCCAATATCCGCAGGAACATCAACAATCTCCTGACAGACGTTGGAAAACATCATCCCCAAGCGTTAATCTACCCGTTGACTGTTGCTTCGAAATCATCAAGTTTATCGCGCAAGAACGCTGCTCTTGCCATCATGGACCGTATGCGCGAGCATAGCTCTACCATCGTCGAACAGGTGAGTTGTAGTTACTGTCGGCGTTGTTAACGGACTCATATCTGGTAGGCTTTGCTCGTTAGCCAGGAGCTCATAAGGGTAGCGATCTTATGGCACGAATTATGGCACGAGGGCCTGGAAGAAGCCTCGCGACTGTACTTCACGGATAAGGACCCAGAGGGTATGATTGCTGCTTTGGAGCCATTGCATGATATGTTGGAAGCCGTGCGCCACGTCCCCCCGAACCTTTGACATATTCTGAAAGAATCTCCAGGGCCCTACAACAGCACGCGAGACTTCTTTCGCCCAAGTCTTCGGTCGAGATCTACATGAAGCACGTGAGGCATGCCGACGGTATAGGGTATACGGGGATCCTGCCGAGTTGGATAAAGCTTGGGATATCTATTATGGAGTTAGTAACGCATTTCCACATCCTTCCGAGTATAATATTTCTCACCGTCGTTGCAGGTATTCAAGAAGATCGAGAAGCAGTTACCACAGCTAACTACTCTTGACCTGCAATACGTTTCCCCCGAACTCCTAAAAGCGCGTAACCTAGATCTTGCAGTCCCAGGTAATATCTTGCTTCGTCGCTGTGTAACCGGGAAAGCTTAAGTGCATACCAGGAACCTATCAAAGCGGGCGACCCATTATCACGATCGTCAGCTTCTCCAGTAAATTCACAGTCATATCTTCCAAACAGCGTCCTCGTCGATTCTCTCTGAGAGGAAGCGACGGTCGCGACTATCTATATGTCCTCAAAGGTCTGTTCCTCGCGTGGAAGAGTGTGGTCAAAGGTGCTGACTTCTCGCTCCGAAGGCCACGAGGATCTTCGGCAGGACGAGAGGGTTATGCAGCTGTTCAGTCTGGTTAACACGTTGCTCTCTGTGGATACGAACAGCTACAAGCGGCGTCTTCATATCCAATGCTACCCGGTCATACCTTTGGCGCCTAATGCTGGACTTGGTGGCTGGGTGCAGGATAGCGACACTCTTCACGTCTTGGTCAAAGATTATCGCGAGTCGCGAAAGGTTTTACTTAACATAGAGTATCGCCTCATGTTACAGGTACCATTTTCCTCAGCCCTGCTGCTTATGACATATTGACTCGCATATATTTAGATGGCCCCCGACTACGAAAATCTCATCTTGCTCCAGAAAGTCGAGGTATTCGAATATGCTCTCGAGAACACCACGGGTCAAGATCTGTACCGCGTACTGTGGCTCAAGAGTGCCAATTCTGAACATTGGTTGGAAAGACGTGCCACGTACACAAGGTCACTGGCGGTGAATAGTATGGTCGGCCACATCCTAGGCTTAGGCGATCGTCACCCATCAAATATACTCCTCGAGCGTAAGACCGGGAAGGTCGTTCACATTGACTTCGGCGATTGCTTCGAAGTCGCTATGCACCGCGAGAAATTCCCCGAAAAGATCCCCTTCCGATTAACTCGAATGCTTACCCACGCCATGGAGGTAATTCTATCCCAGATCATTCCTCAGAGTGTATGTTTATTGACGTTGCTCCTCAGGTGAGCGGTATTGAGGGAAGTTTCCGCAATACTTGCGAAATCACCATGGGTGTACTGCGAGACAATAAGGAATCTCTCATGGCTGTGTTGGAGGCTTTCGTCTACGACCCTCTTATCAATTGGAGGCTCATGCAACATGATACTGATGCTCGTCGCGGCGAGGGTATGTAATATCTCATCTTCGTCCGTGTACAGGGCTAATTCCTGTCATCAGATCCTGTTCGAGCTGCCGAATTACAACGCGTCGCGGCTTACGCGCAGGGTCCGACACGTAAACTCAAAGCGGATGAGAACGACATTTTCAACGGTGAGTAGTCTGACTACCGAGACAAAGTAGGTCTGACTTTTGTGCGCCTTTCACAGAAGCTCTGGGCGACCCTGGCGCGAAGCAGGAAGTCCGGAATGAGCGGGCGCTCGCTGTATATAATCGGGTTCAACACAAGCTCACGGGACGAGACTTCAACCCTGATGTTGTACTCACCGTCCAGCAGCAAGTAGAGAAATTAATCCTACAAGCTACATCGTTGGAAAACTTATGCCAATGTTTTTCTGGTTGGTGAGTATCGAGGTCTCCGCTACCATTACAGCTCCATCTGACTATGACTTCAGGTGTGCATTCTGGTAAACTACGGACACTGTGCCTTATTGTATTATACTTTTGTAGTTTATATATCCATTATGGGCGGTAATAGGGATGTTTCCATCTCGCATTTGCCATTGCAGCTCATGCTATCCCGGAACACCATGGGGGAATGCAGTGCACACTGATGATGATGGTAAATAGGGAACACAGACTAACGGCCTGGTGGTCTAGTAGTATGATTCCTTCTTAGGGTACTCAGCCATTTGGAGGAGGTCCCGGGTTCAATTCCCGGCCAGGCCCTAATTGTCTTTTTCAATTTCAACCGATGTCATTTTGGAACTAGGTTCCTAACGTCGCTCAGAATCGTTTAAGCATCATTGAAATGTTGCTAACGAGACGTTTCGAGGAGCCTTTGTCTCTTCTTATATGACAATTTCGGTGTTTCTGGTGATTTGGTGGAGCACTCTTCAATTTTACTCAGAAGTACCGCTCTACTGCACCGACTACTCCCCCAGTCAGATACGAAGAGCGCGGAAGGCCACCGAAGCGGCGAAGCCAGTACCGATTTGACCAGATTTGGCCGGGAGTGTGCAAATCGCTGAGGGATATTCTCCTACACTTCCTGTGGCTCCACTTACAGCGGCTCGACAGGACTAGTCGTTCGGGTCAAAGCCGCTTGAGGGGATATAAGAATGGAATATGTTCATCACATGATGGCGAGGGCGCCCTCAAAAGCAACGCCAATACGACTGTCGATACTTGTATATGGATGCGATGAGCGTCCTCTCCTTCTCCTGATTAAGGGGTACTTGCGAGGCTCAGCGGAACATCCACCGATCGCGATTCAAAGATCTGTAAGCGGATCAGCATGCTGCAATACATCGACGTCGAAGACCCTGAGTCGACGCCACTGCGTCGGGGGAACAGGGGACCGTTGTCAAACTTTAAGTATTGGTGAGCGCTGAGGCCTTCAGGACTTGCTGTCCCTCGAATGGAACAACTGCGGACAATGGGATCGACAGATGTCCAGCTCCTTCGGTGCGGCGGTGCTGTCACTACATCGAGTCAGTCCAGTGACCACGATACAAACATTTACCTTGAATAGCTTCGTTCGTTGATTCCGAGTGGCAGGATCGGTGGCTTGAGAGTCACCGCGACAGCCAAGGACTGTATCTGCGAGGAAGTGCCTGGGCGATCATGGGAGCGCGGCCCCAGTTCATGGTTCCGGGACGACGCTGGGAAACGTGATGAGTGCTATATCTCAGTACGCAAGATTTCCCTGAGTATCATCGCAGAGGAGAGACGCGCGCATCGCCATTGCTTGCCCAGCCCTAGCCGTACGGTGTTCTTTGGTTGAACCGTTATTGCAGCACTCTATCAGAGCACTACAAGATCGTGAGATTGCACGGGAGCCGCTGGGAACCCGCCTATGCCAGTCAAGGATCCTCGCCAAATTCTGCAGAGATGAGTGTCACGTTGAAGCCCGTCGTCGGTACCTTCGGAACTGTTCAGCTCGCACCTTCGTCACCGTGATTATGTCCGCGCATCCGCGATTAGTATGGACTCAGATGCATGGTTGCACTTAACAATTGATTTCCAGAGCTTGAAATGGAAGCAGACCGCAGTTCAGCCTCATGCAAGGCCGCGCCGACTCGCAGAGCAACGTAGCAGCAGTAATACCAGCAGCTCGGGTAGAGAGTTACACTAGTAATTTCACAAGTGACGAGTGGGAAATTCTAATCGTGGCAGCGGCGATGAATAACAAAAGTGTAGGGCGCTGTGTGCATCCTGACGGTCGAACTTGACCTTCACTATGCCAACAATGCCCTAGTCCTCTTGTTCAGCCTGAGTGGTAGCACGAAGTCCCTCCAGCACCAATATCGATAACCCTTCATGCACATGCAGCTAGAAGACGATCGTTGTTTGAAGCAGATTCACCCAAGATCCCCCCTGCATGCCACAAATCCTATATATTGCCTCCGCGGCAAGAACGTGCTATAAATAACTGCTTCCATTGCTGCTCCAACCGGGCGCTCCCACAGCTACACATTCCATCCATACGCACCTCATCTGCAATGCCCAGAGGCGTTCCGAACGCAAAACGCGATGAGACAGGGTTTCGATACACGACTTTCCATGTGCCGCTGGCGTGTGTAGCTACTGTGTCTAAGCGTGTATACTTCTCGCTGATTCCGCGGGGGCGGATGTAATTCACAGACCAAACCCAAAACAGATGGGTTCTGCGTATCTGAAATCAGAATCGCAGACCCTGTGGGCACGAAACACGGCCCAGGCACAGGCAAATAACAAGAACAAGTCTCAGCCCGAGGAGCCCACAACAGGCCACCCAGGAGTCGAGGTATATACCTCGTTTCTTTAGATGCCAATTAATTTCATGTAACTCATGATCGCCCGCGAACAAGTCTAGACGAGGCTCGCAAGTCTTGGTCATCCATCCGGGCTCCCGTTACCTGCGGATTGGAAGGGCGTCCGATGTCAACCCGCTGACGGTGCCTAACGTGATTGCTCACAAGCACAAGCCGCCAGTACCCGAGCCCGTATTCGTCGAGGGCATTTCACGTCCTCGCAAGAGTAGGTCGGGGCGGCCAACTCGTAGGCGGTCTACGTCTGCTTCTCAAACCGACGAATATGCTGTCCAGGCGCTTTCGGACGATCCTGTACGTCCAACATTCCTGCGAGCTACGGAAGTTCATCACTCAAGGATCGATAGTTCGAGGAGAAGCTGGCGGCTATAACTTTGTCTCTCCGAGCTCGTATGAAATTTTACAAGCTCAGAGTCACTCCGAACGCGACCAGCATAGCGTCTACTTTCAATGAGCAGTTCAAGCCAGAAGTCATATCAGACGAAAGTCCGGTCTACCGTAAGCTCTGGATAACCGAGCCTCCCGAAGAGTCATTCCTGGTGGGAGAGAAGGTGTGCAATGCATGCTGATCCGAAGACATCATTATAGGTGCTAACGTGATTGCAGGCGCTGCGACTAGCGAATCCCACCAGCTTGGGTTTCGTCCAAAGGTGGCCCATCTATGGAGGTCAATTCAACACCAGAGATTATTCATCGCAGCAGGCCATATTGGATGACGTCGAAACCATTCTGCGCACCGTCCTACGGGAAAATCTGAACGTGCCCTCAAAATCCTACAAGGTAAACTGAGTGAAGAGTTTCAGTGGTTTGCACTCACCCTCCAGTAGGATTACTCCGTTGTCCTGGTCATTCCAGACTTTTACGACAGAGCGTACGTCCGAGACCTAGTTAACATACTGTTGGTATCCATGGGATTCAAGCAAATATGCGTTCAGCAGGTAGGTCAGCTATCCCATGCGCAGGATATACGTTGGTTAACGGCCGACTTCCAAGGAATCATTGGCTGCGACTTACGGTGCTGGAATCTCAAATGCATGTGTCGTGGATATTGGAGCCGTTACGACAAGCGTCGCGTGTGTCGATGAAGGAATGGTCATCCCCGACACAAGGCATAACGTTTCGAACGTCTCGGAAACAACGTAGCTCACAACCGATTTTAGGATATCGCTCAACATGGGCGGCAACGATATCACAGAGTTCCTGTATGTTCTCCTCGACAGGATAAATTTCCCTTACCGGGATGTCAACCTCGCGCGATGGTACGACTGGGAGGTCATGGAGGACCTCAAAAAAAGGCTATGTACCCTATCTGAGGCAAGTCGACGAGCTTCGTTTTGTACATGATACCCACTATACGTATGATCTTATTGTAGGCCGACGTCGCCCTGAATTTGTACGACTTCACCGTCAGGCAGCCGAACAAGCACACGATGAAGTATGGCTTGCGTGCATATGATGAAATCATTTTAGCCCCGATGGTGCGGTCGTCCATGTAGTTGTCTTCGTCGTGGACGTCTGATCTACATGGTGCAGTGTGTATTCGAACCAAGGGTCATCGAATTCGACCGGAAGCGCGTAGGCATGCGGCCATCGTCTCATCCCGACGTGACAGAAGAGATCGTGGAGTCTGCGACCGATCATGTCGTGCGTACATCCACTCTGTCAGCAGTGGGGATTAAGCCGGTATATCTCCCTTATATCAGACCCAAGCCATGCTTATCTCGACGCAACATCTGCTCCCGGTACCCGAAATGGCGGCAGACCCACCGCCGCCAGAACTGCCCCAGGCGACAGCGGCTCTGGGCGGTGATAATGCCCCTATCGATGTCGAAGGACAGGCAGGTATGTATTTCATTGATGCGTCTGCCATCCAGTCGGCACGCTGCGTCACCGTATCATCTCATTTGACGGCTACTGACTGACTGACTGACGTACCTGCTACAGAACCGAAAGCAACTGAAGGCGATGAGGCACAGGGGACGGCTCCTACAGACGTGCCGATGGACGTAGTCGACACGGGCGACGAGTCGAAAGCGGCTCCGCCCGCGTCGGCTGCGGGAACGGCAGCGCCCTCGTCCCCGATCCCGCGGCCATCGTCGCCTGCAACAGCCCAGGCGTCCCTCCAACCGCAACTGCCGACTGCCCCGCTCTATCCCGGGGGATACGCCATCGACGTCTGTTTTGAAGCGTCCAAGCTTCCGCTTGACGTCGCTATTTTCAATAGCGCCCGCGCGGCGGGGGGAGATGACAAGATTCGCAAGTATTTGCAGGCTGTTTTGGTGGTGGGTGGCACTTCCAGATTATCTGGAATGGCGCACGCGTTGGAGAGCCGGTAGGGCGAGAGTATGTGCATCCAAATCACTAATGCTCACTCCTGGTTACATAGGCTCCAGGCTATTGCCACGCCGTTGGTCCCGAACATGGAAAAGGTACAGATCATCCCGCCCCCAAAGGACGTCGATCCGCAGGTCCTGCAGTGGAAAGGGGCGGCCGTGTTGGGCAAGATGGAGGGCGTCTTGGATTTATGGCTGACCGCCAAAGACTGGGTGAGTCGTTGCATACTTTATTGCGTTGGGCTCCTGGACTCAAGGACGTTCGTGTGGAAGGGCATTTTGGGTATGAGGGGCTTAAAAGAGCGGTGCTTCTATCTGTAACGTACTGTAGACATGTTTTCCTCCTTTATGGGCATGACAACATAGGTGTCGACTTGTATTGAAAACCAGCATGACCTCCGCAAGACAGCGATAACTATGACGAACTAGACAGCGACATGAGAGCGCGACAAGAGTAAAAACTTGTAAGAGAAAAATGCTTAAGTTGTCCATGACCCCAGTCCAATACCTTCAGTTATGCTACACAATATCCAGACCTCTTCAGGCCTACGAGCTAGACGCCCAGACTGGCCTTGATTTCACAGAGCTCGTATGGTTTCAGCGTGACCCACCGACTCGCAACGCTGCCCATCATCTGTCTTCCCCGCCTTTATGAGCGGGAGTACGCGCAGCATGTAATCAAGGGCAATCAACGCGCGAGCCCAGCAATTTCGTAGTCAACACTTGCCTGTCTCGATTCACCCAGTCCGTATGCAAAGACCCCCCGGCGATCCACTCTGACAGGACGTGGAGGCTGGCTGCTTTACTCGACTTGTTCTTTCTTCCCGATTTCTCCTCTCGGGCGAGTAAGGCAATCAAATCTGTCAGAACAGCGTCCGCGATGCGGTTAGGGGAGAATGGAAATGCCCAGTCTCGTCGCGGGGGATGGGGCTGGGGTGGCGCAAGCTTTGCTCGACAAACCGGGCAATTCACTGCTTCATGCCAGGCTCCGCACTCCCTGTGTAAACGAGAGAAGAACCACTTTGCGATACAATCGGCACAGAAAGTGTGTCCGCATAGGGGGTGGTTCAGCGAGTACGGACAAGCCCTGAGAAAGTTATCAGGGCATGTCTAAACCAATGCTGCTCATGAGTCAGGCGCATGCACTCACATAATTTCGTAGCATCTACAAGGGCAGTCATAAGCACCCTTGCACCATTCATCATAGAGCAGACGTACAAGGCACACGTGAAATTAGCTTCGAGTTGCGCCAAAGCAGCCTGCCTTGCTTGGTCGGCGTGTTGTTCAATGAGTTTCGCCGCCGCCTCTTCTCTCTTCGCCGCCGCCACGAGACTATCATCGAGTCTATCTATTTTGCGCTTCAGCTCGGACTCTGTCTTGTCAAGCCCGCTCTCTCGTTTGCTGGCACGTGCTGCGTTTAGAGAAGAGACTTCCCCGTGGTCCTTCGACGCCACAAACTGGTGGTTCTCCACATCTTCCAAATTTGGCGCCTGCTCACCCGCAGCCGTGCGGGTAGACGAGGATGCCTTATGCTCACTCCGACGTCGCTTCAGCGCTGGCCTGAGCTCCAGTTCAACGAATACTCTTGGCCTCGGTTTCGTCCTTCTAGCATGGGTCTGGCCGGTGGCATCTTGCACTAATATCAGTATCGGACGACGCTTATGAATCACCAGGCACGTACTTTGAGCAGGGTTCAGACGCATCGACCGCCGTGGTCGCGTATTGCTCCTCGTTATCCGCCTAGCAGCTAAATTGTCCATCGCGCTCCGATGGCCATGAGCACCGTGACAAGTGCCACCAGTCGCGCTTGCGGCGGGGTGAGTGCACGTGCAAAACTCCCAGGATGCTCACGTGAGCTTTACCCACGATGAGGTCTGGCTCGGATCCGGCAGCAGTCCTTGCCCGCTGCAGTGCGTCGACATCTAAGTTTGCGACCCTCTCGGCTTCCACTCAGTCTTTCTGATATTCTATGACGGCGAGACAGCTGTCGATTGGACGTTGATACCGTCAGGAGTCATCGACGCGTCCACGAGTCCTGGGTTTGCGCCCACCGTGACTGCATATGGGAATTTCAAAGTAGAACCTAGGAGAAAAGGTTCAGGAAGGACCGATGTCTTGAGGAGCGCTGGTCCTAATTGTCTTGCTTCATGCGACTCGAGGCCAAAGTTCTGCCGAGATATTGCTGGGAGCTGATCATTATATAGCAGCAGCTTGTCCTCCTGGCACAACCATTGGACTGGAGGCCGCATCGTGCGCCGCGACGAGGAGGCGTTCTATATGTCTTGAGCGGTCAATTCCTCTCATGGCGAGTTTGCAATCATTCCTGATGCCATGGCAATTACTGATACGCTGGAGTTACCAAACGATCGTCATTCCCTTTCCTTGACGGCTTCCCTTCCTCTATCAACTTCTCTGCTTCCCCGTTTTCCCACTCATCAGCCAGTTTCCGGACCTTATGTGTTAAAAATGAGTCGTCACGTCTGACGCGTTGATCCAGTTTTCCTGCGAGGTATGTTTTCATACGTCCGTGAAAGATGAAATAAACGTGACAGTGACTTCATTCTATTGTAGGTTCTCAGCGTTCTTACCTGTCCGTAGTGCCGATACGGTAGTTACCCTTCTCCGCTGGATCTCCCGCCAAGACGCATATGAAGCGCTCTATCTACCGCGGTCATATTCGGGTCCTTTCCCTTGCCACATTACTTGCGACACAGTTGACTACGGTTCTCAAGCATAATTGTGTAGCATATGCAGCTCAGAGACGTTCGTCAAGGGGAACTGTTCCTCGGACGCGGCCACAGCCTACAGGGGCTTGCTTCAGCCCTGACCGCACGTCGCCTCGTGACCTAGTATGAGCAATGTTATGCCTTGACCAGCTGCCTGCCTTGAATATGTCAAGAAAAGTCGTGCCTTCGCTCTTCTGGGGTCTGGACTGTTTCCATGTCGAGTCGTTGCTGCGTATTCCGAGCTTCTGCAGCGGCCCGGTGTTCATTGTATACCGCATCACTCGGTGCCACAATTCTGACACGTCTTGCACATGTTTGATTTGGCTCCCCTGACAGCTTCGCCGAAAAACTTCCGCCTATCCAAAAAAACAGGTATCAAAGCGACTGCGGCTGGATGGGTTTATGTCGATGATACTATTTTCTTGAACCCCTCGGCTCTACAAAGCACAGAATTGGAGCACTGTGGACGCTGTGCAGACTTCCTCAATCTCCGCGGTAAAGCTCTTGAAATGCAACCGTCAGGTGAAGATTACATCGCTCACCAGCACAAGATCCGGATGCTGTCTTTGCGGCAGTCCTCGAATATGTTCGCGAGGAGACTAACGCTCGTATTGCGACGAAGACGGACAGACAACAGACCGGGTGTCAGTAATCTCGCGCCATCCGGTATCAATGACGATATGGAGCTACTCTCTGCCGCAGACTGTGGCTAGGCAAACTTGCGCGGTCGATCCGGGGTTCGAATCCGTAATACTACGGTGCATTATCGCAACGTCTGCTTCCCGATCTAACATGCACTGATATCCGTCGATGCATCATCCGCTTGTACGGGGCTGTTTCCACCTAGAGCTCAAATCCGGGCTGGTCACGATGTGATGGCGTAGTTTCAGGATGACTCGTATTGTCACTGCGCTCTTTGTACGTTCACTGCTATCCGTCAGTAGGTCTCCTACGGTCCAAGGTTGTCCCACCATCTTTCCAGACCAGTATCTCAATCGGCACCGCTTGTGCATTCCTCAGCCCGTGGATGATACTTAACATCCCGGTGGGGTGATGATCAGCCGATCCCTCGGGCAACTGATAGCTCGGATTGAGCTGGTCGATGTAACTTCGACTAACCTACCTTAAGGTATGTGGCATATACTGCCCTCGAGGCTGTGCCTCGCCTATGCTTCTCACAGCACTAATGTTTTGAAGACATCAGAGCCTGTCTTCGATCCACCCTAGCTCCTGGTCTTCCTCTGGGGTTGCAGCAATCTGAACGTCTCTACCGGCGCTTCCTCTGCTCCTCGGGGCAGTTGGTTACCGTATATCATGTCATGGACCGAGATTCCGCAACTTTTGTTACAGTAGGGATCCTAGCGAGCCTGAACGAACTCAGCCGGGCCGTTAACGGTTCCAAACCATCCGCCGGGTCTATACTAGACGTAGTAGGTTACAGATCATTTATTCCCTGGCGCGCCTCAGAAAATGCTCCAAGCTCCCTACGCCTCGCCCTTGTACCCTAATTTTAGCAGCGATTTGATCGCAGTAACTGCTGACCCTTTGGCTCGCTCGCATCTAGCCTATGCTTCGGGATGATCATAGCTTCCACTGTCAGCTCTACCGGAAGGAGGTTGTCCATCCATCTCGGTGCGGCCGGGTCAGTACCTGTGTTCCCCTGTTACCGTACGATCTTTCCATTGATGAGTCCACGAAATATTTGGCGATAGGAATCATAACGTTGAGCTAGCTTTGGTGTAAGCTCTTGCTCATGGTTCACAAACTGACATCTGCCTCTGTACTAGACGCCAACGGATGGCCAATCATCTCGATAGCAGTGATCAGACAATACTGGCTCTATCTACTTCTGAACCTCCGAAGTGCTGGGACTCGGCCGCAATTATGAAGGCTGTTTCATGCTTCTTATACGGCGCGGAGCCAATGGAAGTCCGCGAGCTTGATAGACTTCAAGAATCTCAGGGCCGCGTCATAAACAGCAACAGGTAGTGTATGATGGGAGGACTACTGATGGACTACTATGAATGCAGCTATGTCGGCATATCCATGATCCCCGTCTCCCTGTTGATATCTCACCGCAAACTGGCCCACCGGTGAGGCACGTAGGTCACTCTCTGCTTGGTATATCTTCTGCACAGGAACGGTCGGTCTATTACTTGAGCTTGTCTGTGTGGCTGAGCCAACCGTGACGGAGAGCCACGCTGATGCACATTCGCAGGCATGTTCATGTCGAACCCATGGAGAGCAAAGAAGGTCAGGGCATAACATACTGCTTCTCGATCAAGTGATGCTTCTCCTTATTCTATGACGAATCCATATCACTTTAATCGTTTATGCTGGCCACTCGGCGACAATAGGTGACTAGATTGCTATTTCTGCAGACCTGTACGGCATCCAGTCTGTTCCTCGGATTTCCTGCTTGTGCCTGTAACGGGGCTCAATTTTCAGTGTCGCTGAGTGACTTGAGTCAGTTTTCACTTACTTTCGCAGTCTGACATTTTGAATATGAAGCGTTGAAGTTTGCACCTTTATGTGGGCACCGTACTCACAAGCATCAGTCCGCGGAACCGGTCGGCCCGGTGCCTGCTATTGAACGATTGCATTATATGATCGGCGCTAGCCGATTTGGTGTGACCACATTCTCCTTTCAAAAATTAAATCATTCCGACACACAGCGCCCCGTCCGCCGGAGATCTGGACTCGTCTACGAGACCTCCTCTGAAGACGAGGCACAGGGCGGTGAGTGTCCCTCCATTGAGTCGGGGCCTGATCGAGACGGAATGAGACTGGGGACCCGATACACGGACAGGGGAAGATACACACTGGGTTACGTCTGTGGGACGAGCGCCTTTTGATGGTAAGGGACAACATCGTTCCAAGGCGCAGACGCTCGCTGACTTGTGTCACATGTCCCGCTGCTGAAATGAAATCTTCGGCACCGCGGCTTCAAGGAGTATACGATTGGAAGGGAGCAGCGGAGCCGTCTTCATTATATCAATGCAGTACTGTATTGTCCCTATCCAGGAATGGAGGTGCGTATCCCATCGAGAAACCCAGGAAGCTCGTTCTGACAAGGAGGTCATGATCGGACATCAATGTGGCATTGTTTGGCATTGTCTGCTCGTCAGGCATGCACTCTTGATGCGCCGCAAGCAGCGGCGCAGCCTGAGTCTTGGATTACGAGTATTCCGTATCAGAGGACGTACGCAATGTCACGTTCTCCGCTGGAACATCGCGCAAGAGTCGTATCAAGGCTTAGATGCTCTGTGAACACGGTCATTATTGGCTCACCGGTCAAGGCCAAATGTCTACTTACGAGCATCCGCATCTTTGGATTGCTGTCATATGGGAATCCCTACTGGCTTTTTTCACGCACGTGAACGGATCTTTGCAGGTACAGTACAAGATCTTTGCACGTCGTCAGATGACGCCGGTGTCATCGTGTTCCTGACAACCAAGCATACTCAGACAGCTCGCGATTACAGTGACAATCCCAGACGTTCGCCCTAAAGCCTAATTCTGAGGTACCTGTCACTTTGGAAATCAATTGCTCGCAGCAAGAAAACGCGCCACTGGCCCGGGTACTTGTTAATGTCAGTGATGAAAGGACCAAGCCTCACGGTCGCCCCATTTAGCCTCAAGTTCCGCCACAAAATGTAAAGCAACGGGTCCGTCCAACGTTGTCTTGCGTTTCGAATTCGACATGATCGAACGCAGAGCGCTGGCAGAAATGCAAGCAAACCAAAAGAAGGTCCCCCCCCCTTCTCGGACACATGGTAGTGCCCCACACTATCAGATAAGATCACGTACGTATGCAATTCAGTCGGCCCTCCCGGCTTGTTGACAATTCCACCGTCATGGCCTAGTCGTGGCCTCCTAAGATCACTGTCGCCTCATCGGTTTCACTGATAATTCCTGTAGGCGCCTGCGATCGGGAGACTCCCGCCTTCGAGGAGGAGATATGTATTCTCACCTTCACCAACCTCACCCATTTCCAAGGAGAACGACACGATCCCGAGGGGTTTCATCAAAATCCCAGCATGAGGGGTCCAGGTCGCTGCGAGCGAGATAAGTCTTGGTACGTGTACGGGTGTGGAGCGGCGCATGCAGGAACAATTAATCACACCCGGCGATCCCGGTGAACAAGCGCAGCAGCGACCGTCGACCGCGACGGCATATTCACCGGAATGGGGTAATAACGCACGGGTAGCAGATACCCCCCGGATCTCGACGTCCTCGCTGTTGTTTCGCCGCATGATACAGAATTTTAATATCGCAGAGATAGAGTTCGAGCAGCGGTCTCGTGGATAACATTCAAACACCCGTCAGGTGTGCGTTCAGAGTTGGAGGTGTATTGTCGTGCCAAGGCGAACGTGCCCCGCACTCTTGGCGCAAGTAATCAGACAAAGAGGACGCCGATAAATCTACCTAGCTGCCCACTAGCGCGAGCCACACCAGCAAGCGAGATCCCGTACCGAATTATTTCGAGCCGGACGTCATTGTGTTGGGCGGCGCCCGCGGCAACGATCAGAGGTACCTGAAAATACTTCCGTGTCTCTGAGAGACAGATACGGAAATGTTTGTGCGCATCTTCAAATGTGTTGCCAGTGCTTCTGTGAATCCAATCAGGAAACGTCGACGCAACTCCACAACGCGCGTCTGAAATATCATATTGCACCTGAATTCAGGGCCGAGCCGCCTTTCAGCTTGATATGGCAGGTATTCAGAGGAACCCGACCATTGCTTACTGGCACGACTCGATACGAGGAGCAGCGAATGAGTAGTTGGAGGAACCAGCCATAGCTGTTTGACGGTCTAAGTATAGGCATGCGGTAAGCCTATTAATATGCATATCACTATTTGCGAATCCACCGTAAGCTAGTCGTCTGATTATTATTCTGATTCCTTAGCAGACAGCGGTAAGAGTCGATGACGCGAAGAGGGTTCTCATAGCAGAGCCGCTGTCACCCAGTACATATGTCGAGCACTACTGATACATATCATACATGTAAGTTTTACAAAATACGTCCAACGTGCGTCCGGGGATGATTGACGGCTCAGGCTGATCATGATGCAGGTGGTACCGGTCAGACGCTGACGTCGATCCGAGCGTGCCCGCCACGACCCTTCCTATCGACCATGCTCAGTGGATATGTGAACCGTGCACATTCTGCAGGCATCACTTCTGGCGCCACCCACGGGGATATATGTATGCTTGTGTGGATCTGAGAACTATATATCATAGTCCAATCAAAAGTGACTCCGGTATGTATGAGCGCCCCAGGGGCGCGTCAGATGCAGATCGCACCCCTCGAGCCCGAGCCCGTCGTGGGTTCCTCGAAGCACGCTCGCAGTCCGGCCTCGCTCGATCGCGATCGTTGCGACTTTGTACATAGCTTACTCACGTTCAGCGTTGTGATAGACTCGACTCTGGCTGCAGGTCGCTGAGAGCTCGGCCTGTCACGTTACGGATGAAGACGTGCTGAGAGCTCGAGTACATACATCCGACATAGACCATACACGAGGATACGAGATACGAGTAAAATTTCGACGGGAGAAGACAGGATCTGAAACACTCTGGGCAGGTGATAAATGCTATCATACGCCGAGAAAAGAAGCAGAAGACAGCTGAGCTGAGCGTGGTACGCCCGGCCGACCAACGGGATTTCTGACGAGAAAGTCGAAGCAAAGGCAGTAAGCCCAAGTCGTCGTGGAAAGAGACGAGGTGATGTCCTTGGACCGTACTTATGAGAGACTGCGACCCGGATTTAGATGGAGACTTGAAACGCGAGGCACACAAGTGGCCTGGGGCGGAAAACAGAAGGGAGAATGGCGGCACAGAACCTGAATTCGAAGCTAAGCAGACGGAAGAAGGGAAGCAAGCCGCTGTGAGAGCAGTCGAGTCGTCCTCGACTACGTCGCATGTATACATACTCTTCGCGACGCGTCGGAGCTTGCGTATTCCCACTCGAACGTTAAACCGCGCAGTACGAGCGTGAGTGCCAGCCATCGCACTGGTCCCGGAAGGGGGTAGATCACTGTGAGAGAAGCGAGATCGACGTCGACGTCCGAGCATGGCCTTCGAAATGTCAAGTTTAAACCTCCAATATCTCCGCTTTCGCTCGGAATGTGTGGCAAGCGTATACATACCCGCGAAGACTTCAGAGCGTGCAAAACAGCGAGTCGACGTGAAGCACGCACAAATCAAATCTGGAGCCTGAAGCAGGAATTCGATGCACAAAGGAGCCCAGAATAGCGCGCTACAGGAGCCGAAACGTGAGAGCGGGTATACGGTCGAAGTCGACATCCAAGGCGTTGTTTGCACTCTTCTGAGATGAGCCGGCTGACGTGGAGTCAAAAAGGGGCATGCCGGAGGTCGACGCCATCGAGTGCGAGGCGCGCATCACGAAGCAGACGTGGGGACGAGCACGGGGGAAGATACCTCCATTCGAACGGGATCGTCTCTCTGAATGTCCGATAGCCTCATGCGCTGGTGCAAGGATTGCGAGAGCTGGGGAGGGACGCCAGAATAACGGGCATTGATCCCGGTCCGGAGGTCAGCGCAAGGCGATATGAAAATCAGGTGTTGTACCGACCTTTGTGATTGGTTGGCGGAGCTTGGTGACGCGGAGCCAGTGTTCCGTAGACGATCAGTAGCCTCGTGTTGCGTTCGGGACGTCCCATTCCGTGCAGCTTCGAAGTTCGAGCGCTGACTGGGTGTAGATGCATGATGGATTGATGAGGGTAGACTTTGTATGCGGGCTCGATGGGCTTGATAATCAGAATCAGATTGGCTGCAGTATGGACGATAACTGCAAGCAACTTGCAGCGACACGAAGCGCCAAGGAACGCGCGCAACCGTGATGGCGGGGGCAGCGAAGAGATGCCGCAGTTGGGAATATTGGGCACGCACGTTGCATCAGAGCGGGAGAAGAAGGGCGTCCCGTAGCGAATAAAAGGCTAATTGGGATCAAAAAGGACGACGGTTTCCATCCGGGGCGAGGAAAAGGGCGGCGGGAGGGGCGGGCTGATGTCGGTGCCGGGGGGCGCGTTTGAGGGCGTGATGGGGGCCGAGGCGGTGGCAGACGTCGAAAAGGGACGGCCGAGTCTGACAGAGCAGGCAGGAAACTGCGAAAGAGACGGAGACGAGGGCGAGCAGGTGACGGGGGACGGACTCGGCATGCGCGCGGCATGGGTTATCAGAAGGGGTGACGGTCACGCGGGAAAGGGCGGCCGGCGATTAAACGGGGGCCCGGGAGGGGGCGTGCGTTCTGGAAGAGGCTGTGACGTGACGGGGGGAGTTTAATGTAGCGGAAAAGGGAAGGGGTGACATGAGGATCGATCGGGGGAAATTAGATCCGCAGACGAGATCTGGCATGGAACCTGGGCACTGGCCGTGCCATTTGGCAGCGAGATACGGGTGACTGCTGAAATAACGACTGGGCGAGTACGCTCATTCTCAAAAATGCCCGCCCGGGCCACGCTTCTTTGATTTGCCCCACGTCCTCCTCGATGCTCCTGCACTCCTTCTTCCACCCGCCCGCCGCCTTCCTGCCCGGCCAGCTCGACGATCCTTGCCCCGACCGGCCCCGCGTCTTCAACGACCTCCTCCACAAGCCCCCGCCGTCCCCGCCGCCCGCCCCCTACCACCCGGCGTCCCCCGTCCTCTCCTCCGGCTCGCCCTCGGGCAGCTCCGTCGACCAGTCCCCCTACGACTACCATGTCCAGTCGGCCGCTGACGTCCCCGCCCTGTCCCCGTCCAGCTCCGCCATGTACGACAACGAAGGCTACTACCGCGACTCTGCCGCCTCCGGGTCTCCGGGCTCGCCGCACCACCCCCATCCCGAGGCCCACTACGCCGCCTCGCCGTCCCCGTCCAGCGTCTCCCCGCCGCTCGCCCCGGCCCAGTACGACCACCCGTACAGCGCCCCCGCCCACCAGCCCGCCTTTCCCTCTGACCGCTTCCTGGCGGACCCGACTGCGCCCGCTTCATTGAACAGATACTCATCCACCGCTTCGAGCAGCGTGCCGCGCAGCCAACCAGCCCACTCCGCCTCCTTCGACCGCTACTCGTACAGCGCGCCCTCCAGCATGCTCGCAGACCGGCGCATGTCCGAGCCCACCATCTCGTCCGCCTACTCCATCCCCGCCCCCTCCTCCTACCCCAGCTCGACTTACAGCAACGGCCCCTCCCAGCAGTATGACTCACCGCCCATGTCTTTCCGGTCCTACAACTCCTCCCACCACAGAGTCGGCAGCAGCTCCGGCTCGGTGCATGATTTCCCAGGGCTGCAGCTCCCCCAGCCGTCGTCCCAGCACTACCCGTCCAGCGGGCACCAGCAGCAGCACTGGTCCACCCCGCAGTCAGACGCGAGCGCAAACGCAAAATTCGACGACCCCTCGTCCGGCGGGACAGACGACAGCGGTTTCCAGATCCCCGCGCTTCCCAGCCTCGTCTCGGGCGGCGGCGCCCAGATGTACGCGCACGACGAGCCCATCAGCCCGCTGCACAGCACGTTCTCCGGCTCGAGCACAACCAGCGGGGGCGGCGGGCCCAGCCCGCCCATGCCCTTCGCGGAGCCCCTCGCGGACCCGCAGCGCTCGCCCAAGCGCTCGCCGCCCTCGCCCAATGCGCGGACGGCGGGGCAGGGCAGTGGTAGCGGCAGTGGCAGCGGCAGCTCGGGCAGCAACAAGAAGACGTACTCCTTCATCCCGCTGCCGGGGCAGGTGCGCAAGCGGCCGAGGAGGCGGTACGATGAGATCGAGAGGAATTACAGGTGCAGCTGGCCGGGGTGCAACAAGGCATATGGCACGCTGAATCACTTGAATGCGCATGTGGTGATGCAGGGCCATGGCCAGAGACGGACACCAGCAGGTGAGTGCCTGTTCTCCTTTTGCACGCTTTGGTCAGGGGTAGGCGGCTTGCTGCCTATTTTTTGTACTCTTTCGCTCGGGCAGAAACAAAGCACCTCTTGCATCCTGAGAACAGCGTGATTTTGAGAGAATCATAGCATATACCCATCTCTTTCCTATTTTGAGGCGCATATATGCACCCGCCAGTCCATATCCAACATAGTGAACTGTGGCTTCAATATCCTAACATACATCTCCAACAGAATTCAAGGAACTCCGAAAGCAGTGGCGGAAGCAGAAGAAGGAAGAGGCCGTCGCAACCGCGACCTCCTCTGCGCTCTCGCGCGCCTTCCCCCCGCATGCGCCGCACGGCATCAGCCCGAACGTGCACCATCCCTCCGCGTCGTACTCCCTCCCCGGCCCGCCGCGGCACCGCATGTCGCTGCCCTCGCTGCACCCCGAGTACGAAGCCTCGTCCTTCCGGCCGCCCGCCTCGCTGCCGAGCAGCTTCCCGCCACTGGGGGGCTCGGCGTACGGCGGGATGTACGGCGGCTCGTCCAGCAACTCGTACGACTACCTCCCCGAGGATCTGACGGGCCCCGCGATGCGCCCGCTGCACGTGCCCAGCCCGACCGCCACCAGCTACACGCTGCCGCCGCCCCCGCAGCAGCATCGGTATAGCCACAGCCAACAGGGGCATGGCGGAGGCGGGTTCACGGGGATGGGCGTCGCGCCCGGCGGGGGCGGGCGGCTGCCGCCGGACAGCACGCTGCTGACGCCCCTGCCTGGGTACGAGCCGCCGAAGGAGGAGGACGAGGATCGGTATCGGCGGTGAATTTTCGCTGCGGTGAGTGTCGTTCGGTCCTTGCTGCGTGGTCAGGGTATTCATGCGTATCTAGTAGGAGCGCTGTTCCTTCTGCCTATAGTCGCCCCTACTACACGCATACCGCGACTGGTATATACTGTATAGCAAGCTGTCAAGCTTATTTTCGACGTTAAGGTCTCGTTTGGGACCCGGCGCGCCCGCCAAGAAGTTGGCCGGACGCGCCCTCACTTTTCTGCTCGCATTCCCGATTTTCCACCACAGCCTACGTTATTTCAGCCCAACCGGTCTTGCATATGGTCAGATAATGTACTTCTACGTTCACCCTGTAAATTCTTCGTGGCACCCTCTCTTCCCGCTACCACTCTATCTCTCACCTGCTCTCTGCTCTTCGTCGTGCTGAATGTTTGTTCGTCCTCCGCCTCTGTTCTGCTCACTCACTCACCTGTCTCAGCCTCGCCTCGCCTCGTTGTGGATAGCGGTACTGTAGGAACTATGTTTATTCGATGTGTCTCTTATTTTATGGGTCGGACGGCTGGATGCCTCGTCTCATCCTCCTCCTGCCAGTGCTTTACTGTATTTTATTAATCCGGACAATAACTTGTGTATAACGTACGCCTTTTCGTATATACTTCTGCCCTGAGCTCGAGCTGGCTCCCAACGTCTACCTTCCTACGATTACGTAGAAATTGTGTACACAGTAGGGTCACCTCATCCCGCTCCCGGCCTCGTCATGATTGTCTCGTCACACAACCCGATCTCAGGCCCGTCCGGATTGGAATTCGCGTCGTCGACGTCGAGATTGCCAAGCGCAGCCAGGGCACAACACGGGCCCGGGCTGTCATGTTATGTCGCGAAGACGTAGGTTGAAATACCGCGGACGTAACAGAATATGCAAATGTATCCCGGGAACGCACTGACGTTTGTTGCATCCAGCCACATCCTCTGACGCTTCGAATTCCGGAATCCCGAGCGAGCGCGGATCCTGCCGTCAGCACGCGTCGCGAAAGCAGGACGCGTGACGTTGTGTGTGTTCAGAGGTAAATATGAGTATGGATGGACGCGTCCGAGGCGTGCCGGACACGCTCCCCACGAAGAGAAGCAGCGGCCGAACTCGAACTTCGATCCTCGAACCCGAATCCGGGAAGAAAGAACGAGGAAGGGAATGGGAAGGGAAGGGAGAGGGAAGTCTGAGCAGGGGCGACGTCGAAACAGGAATACCGCAGGTCGACGGGATTGGAAGGGAGGTACCTGCAGATTGGCGGGTGCCGCACTGTGTGACAATGATATGTCGCTGTGTTTGACTTGCATCTTGTTCCTAAATGTGGATTGCGGCCCTTCGTACTCACGCATGGCCGCGGGCCGGCCAGGATGGGAAACCTGAAAGGCGCAGGCTGGGTCGGAACACTCGAGGCCCGGGCGAAGGGGTAATAACACGCCCCTCCGGAAGGGCCTGCGTCTATCAGCGGTACGGCTACGGCGCGCCTACAGTGGATAAGATGTTCAGAAGCATCAGGAACCGCTGAGGTGACGGGAATAGAACAAGGCAGAACACAGAACTCACGGCGCAGCGTGCACGATATGACGCGGGTTCCCTGCATGCAGGGCGCGAAACGGGGCAGAAATCGCGATACAGTGCGAGTGCATTCCCCGCAGAACAGGAACGACGCAGACAAACTTCAGGTTTAGGATCTCCGGAAAGGCCTCCTGTCCAGGTGAAACATGCCCAGGACGGGCTCTGTGGTTACGCCACCAGCAGATACCGAGTAGCGTCGTCAGTCCTACGAGGGCTCCAGAGCCCAGTTATTCTCAGCAAAGGGGCGTCCCGGGTATGCGTGCACGAAATGCGAAGGACTCCCCGTATCACGTTTCACCGAAGCCGGGTCAGCCAGCGGGGCGCCACAGGCAATCTGGCGTCCACGGTCATTGCTTCCTCGATTCCAGGTCACGATATTGCGCAGTTGCGGGCTGGTTTGGGAATCTGACCGCGTCTATCGCGTTGACGTCAGCGCGCACCTAAGACGGGCGAGGTAGTGTTTGGCGCTTCCCGAAGGAGGACCCTTCCCTGTCAGCTGCAGCGTACGCATACTTTTGGGGATGCCGTTTGTTGTGGATCTACAGGGTTCGAGGCTCCCCCGCGCGGTGGAAAAACGTCCGTCAGGTTGGATCGTTCTGAGGTTGACGTTCAGAACCGGCAGCTGGAGAACTTACTGTATTATATCACACCCTGAAGATATGAGTGAATCGCAGTATGTGGGTGTCATGGGTGGAGCGTCCCGCTAAGCGATGTATTGAACGCTAGGTATTCTATTGGCAGCTTGATGTTTGCGTACTTGAGCTGGTATCAAACCCTGCAGAAACCTCGACCGTCGGGTCAGGAGGACACGGGGAGAGGCGCATCGTGACAGGATCCCGTGTCAGCCTGACCGCCGCTGACTATGAAATTATGATTGCACGTCTGAACCACCAAGAATAATGTACGAACCTAGAAATCTGGTTGTTCATAACAAATAAACTCGCATTTGCAAGAATGATTGATCATTTCCGGCAGCGTCATCCGAAAGTCTTCCGAACGCGCATATTCCATGCACGCCGCTCATCAAGCTGCGCAGTCCGATAAGCATAAAGCCTCTTCGCAAATGTTTGAATTTCTTACCTGCAGAGGCTCTGCATTACATATTCAGAATCCATTTGCTTCCGTCTCTTCGCCGGGGTGGTCACCCTCTGATTATCTCGTTGTCGCAGAGCGCCACCATCAAGAGATGCCCTGTCAAGTATAATAAATGCCGCACTATAGGAAACCGGAGCCGTAGCCATTAGTAGCCCTAGCCTTTAATTCTATGTATTAGCTTATCATCTTATCACGATATACCTCCGTCGCTGTTGTTCTGGCCTCTTGTTTAGTCCACTCGAAATGACCCAACGGCGTTCTTATGATAGCGTTGCGCCTTCCAATGAACGGAGGTCGCGGATATTGCGTTATGCGATCACAGAGGATCTGAATAACTGGATGCGCGCCACACTACATACCTACAGATGACCTGTGCCCAGACACCAGTCAGGATGCCTGACCAGGCCTGAGCGTTCTTCCGTCGGGAGTCTCAGATACACGTGTTCAGAATACTGGAAATCGAATTCTTGCGCCGGGGGGATGACATGGGCTGGCAGGTGAACCCACAGAGCCCGTTCCGGACCGGCACCTCGGAGCGCAGAGATCTCGCCCTTGCAAGGCGTTCATTGAACATCTGCGCAATCATAAACAGAGCAGCTGTGGCTTCCTACACTCCATGGGCTGTGCGCCGTCCGATATTCGGCATGGCACCGCCAAGAAGCAAACGGGGCAGAAAGAAATGGAGTTCCGGAAAGATGGCGCAGCAAGGCACCGAGACGCTCGTCGCAAGTCCCACGAGCTCTTCTGATACCCTCGGAGTGGGAAACCAACAGAATAGCGCGTCAGCCAATCAGCGTCGCCCCCAGAGAGCTTATTCGAGTAGAAGATGATGATTTGCCCGGGTTAGGGAACACGTCGGTCGCCAGGGTCCACAAGGTACGTGGAAATACCAATGTGGGCGGCGGGATGCGAAAGGATGCGAAAGGAGCGGATTCAGATCCTCACGGGGAGCGCCAGCATTTCCTCTGGATACGTGATACGGTGACGATAGATGCAAGCCTGCAGGATGGCAGACGACCTCAAACAGAGGCACATCGCGGAGTCTCGACCACGGGTAAACTTCGAAGCTACGAAACCCACTTCTATACCTGGGTGAGTAAGCAAGCCGGGACGCGATGTCTACTCGGAGATCGTACAAATGAAGAGCACGGACAGCGTTGAATGACGAGTGTGAGAGGCGCACGGATGTCTTGATGCCACGAGGGGCGCAGAACCCAGCGCCGGCATGGCAGAGTGCAATGCAGATCGCGGCAAGATACAGTTTTTGATGGTGGCTTGCTTGGAAGATAGTGTCAGTGCCAGGTTCTTCAAGTTTATATGGCCGAACTCGCGACGCAATTGGCAGGTCCCAAGCCCCTAAAGGCGACCATCGGATGCAGTGCAGCCAACCGTTCCTGCGGGCCGCTGTCTACGAAAGTGTGGTGGCCACGGGACGATAGTGTCATTCCCTTGCGACCTGCGAACGTGACGATTCCAGCGAGACAAGCGTCAGATGAGCTCTGAATTGACCCGTTCGAGAGATCGAATGTTGAACATTGAGGACCCACTCAAACACGACCATCGACGACTCCGGCCGCGAGCAGTGACCAGATTTCCTCCGCGAATACGCAGGTAAAGCTGCGTTCTCCTTGCTTGCAAACTGGTGGGTACGAGTCCCTAGGCTCGATACCAGCCACTTCGCAATTCAAGCTCCGCTCGTAATACTCGCTACACTTCGCAAGCTCACGCCTTCCATCACTCCGAAACCAAAAAAGGAAGGCGTGTGCATTGCGTACAGGACTGGTCGCGAGTCTAACGAGTCCCGATAAGGCACCAACACCTGTGAGCGCTCAGCTGCTGATCGTTGCCGTGCGGTAACTCTGCGGCATTAGAAGGTCTCGCCTTGCACCTTGATTCTATTGGTTTTCGGCGAAAGACAAAGTTAGCAGTGCCAAGCACAGCTGACAGACAGGTAACAAATACGCGCCTGGGTGATAATTGCTACATATAACTTTAAGCAACTTCGAGCCTCACATTGTCTGAATGATGCCTGGGTTATGTGTGACAGTTATCCGCCGAAAGGCAAGCAACCAAAGAGCACCAAATAGTCTGAACTGACATCTGTAAAACCTCCTTGAGCGGGACAAAGATAGTAAAAAGACTCCGTACACTGCGCTTCGTTAAAGATGAAGGCCGCGGAGAAAGAATATCAACCTGCGTGCAGATACCCATCTGAACTGCCACAATTGCCGTGTACAGATAGCATATTACTAGTCTAGGCAACCATACAGTAGTAATCACCCTGGCGTGACTGACATGTTCTGAAAATCCATTCACAAGACATACAGTCGAATCTCTCTTAACCTTAGTGACGGTGCCGGTCGATCTCTAGCGCAGCCGAGGGAGGCCGGCAGCAGCGTCCAGCCGAGCATCAGCACACACCCGGACAGAGCCGTATGGTTTAGCCAGACAGGGTGTCAGAGTACTCCCGCCGGGGGAGAGTATATAGACCCACGACGCTCGACGGCAGGAGAGTCATTGTTCTCGAACTCCACAGTCGACACCATTCTCGAGCAACAAGGCTACATTATTCTCGCTTATTAAAGGCTAACTTATTATCGCCTATTCCTACGCTTAAACTTCATCTAATTTTACGGTACTTGTCACTCTAAAACACAAAAAACTCGTCACAATGCACCAACATCTCGGTCTCAATCTGGGCTACGTACCGGCACCTTATCCGCCCATCGACAGACCGGCCGTGGCCAATCCCGCTCCAGCAGCTGCCACAATGGTGGCTAACCCCGCTGTACCCGCCCCAACGCCGCCCGGCGCGCGTACTCCCTCGGATGTGACGCTTGCCTCCTACCAAGCTCGCATCCAGGAACTGGAGCTCATCCTCGCCAGAGGCAACAGCGCGGTCGCACCGGCGGTCGGAGCTTGGATTGAGGACATAGAGCGTCTTCAATTGTGTCGATGGTCATTGGCGGCAGCTTCCCTCTGCTGTATGTCGTATTCGACTGCGACTGCCCACCCGTGTGAATGAGCAAGCGACAACACCACGGTGTGGTGACTCTGGAGGGCGTCACCCCGGTCTTTCCCGTGATATACCTGAGTATGTTCCTCCGCTGTTTTCGCTGCCTTCAGCCATTCGATGGTCGATATGCCACGTTCGTTCTCGCGGCTCAGGCCTTTGACGGTTAAGCCTCCTTTCGCGTTCAGGATGTAATCCTCCTCACCGCGTGCCGAGCGCAGGCACGCGGCTTGCGTGAGAGCCGTGTATGGAATGTAGCAATAATCGCGGAAAGCGGCATCGACCTTCGGGGGTACGGCTGCCATAAAAATACGAGTTAGCCTCTGCTAATGCGAAATGAGAACAATACGATGTGGTGGACAAGTCTCCGGTCGTTGGAGAGGCAGCCCTCACGCTGATTACGACTTCGCCTACCCGCGCTAGATCCATGGACACGACTGCAGCCACAACTGCAGCCCCCGCGAAGCGCGCGGCCCTCGGTACACCTGCGAATGCAACCCAGTCTGTCAAGCGGCCTCGTACGGAGAGCCGGTGCTTTCGCTGCGGGCAGCAGGGACACTTCCCGTCCGGATGCACAAGCTCCCTCACCTCAGCTGGCTGAGCCGTTGCTCCCTTACTCGGAGACGGGTCACGCAGTGCACAGGCACTCGCTGCGCCCAACGGGCGTGCTTTCTGCTTCAACTACGCATTGTCCTCTACATGCTGGTTTGGGGCAGACTGCCAGAATGTCCACGGTTGCAGTCTCTGTGGTGACACCAGCCATGGAGCCGGGAAGTGCGGACGTCGGGTCTGACTCAGACCCGCGCCGGGTTGTGACACCGCTCAACCCGGACAAGGTAGAGGCGCTGCTACGCGACCTCCACATCTTAGAGCGGTGGAGGCACGTCGTTGACGGCCTCAGATCAGGTTTCAAAGTTGGGGTCGATGTGCCCCTCCCACACTCGTTCACATTCAAGAATCACGCATCATCGGAACTTGACGAGGGCTTTATAGACAAATATATAGCAGCGGAAATCGCAGCGGGACGCTACTCAGAGGGTTACGAGCCCGGCGAGTTGGAGAAAATCATAGGACCTTTTCAGACATCACCATTAGGGCTGGTACCAAAGGCGGGCACAGACACATTTCGTTTAGTGCAGGATATGTCGTATCCTTGCAACGATGTACGCTCTAGCTTCTGTTTGTAATGATTTGCCTGCAATTTACGCGCCCCCCCACTCTCGTATAGCCCTCCATATCTTCAGTAAATGCCAAGATAAACTCAGACGACTTCCCCACCAAATGGGGAACATTCGACGAAACATCAAACTTGATTCTGCAACTGCCGACTGGAACATTCGCCGCGGCATTCGATATCTCAGCAGCATACCGCATAACCCCGATCAGACCAGAACACTAGAACACAGTCTGTCTGTTCTGGCAGGGCAGAGTTTACGTAGATCGTGCAGTGATGTTCGGCCTGTCGTTCAGTGCCGGCATGTTCGGTGCAGTCACGGACATGCTCGTGGCAGTATACCGTGCCTCCGGCTTTGGTCCAATTCGCAAGTGGGTAGACGATTTCCTTGCATTCCACCTGCCAAACCAAACGTGGACAGAGGAAGACTTCATCGCACTCACCGCCCGACTCGGTGTACCCTGGAGTGCAAAGAAAACCAAGCCGCTCTCGTCGGTACAGAGGTACATAGGATTCATATGGGACCTCGAAAAGAAGACTGTCGCCTTACCACAAGAGAAGCTAGCCAGCACAGTAGCAACAATCGAGCCCTGGCTGGTACACGGAGCACGTTTCACTGCCCGAGAAGCAGCGAGCCTCCACGGCAAACTCGTCCATGCCGCGACAATCTTCCATATCACGCATCCATTCCTATGGGGCCTGTCACATTTTGCAGCCTGCTTCAAGTCTGCTCGAGCGCGCCTACACCCGCCGGAACCGCTCGTGCAAGACCTCGTGTGGATACGAGACATGCTATCCGTTTCCCCAAACACACTACCGCTGGCACTCCCCACGCCGCTCGATCTGGGCTGGTGGGGTGACACCAGCACGTCCTTTGGCATAGGGATCACAGTTGGCAAGTACTGGGCAGTGTGGAAATGGGCTCCAGGTTTCAGAGTGGGACCCGGTCTGCCACACAATATAGGTTGGGCAGAGGCAACGGCCGTCGAGCTCGGACTCAGGCTAATCGTCCAGTACAACCTGCTCGCTGCGGTGCCACCAGGCGCATCAAATCTTCTCATCCGCTCAGACAACAACGGCGTCGTGGCAGTCGTGAACAAGGGCCGATCACGTTCCAAGGCGACAAACACGATATTAAAGTCCATTTTTGCGGTCCTGGCACCCTGCGGCCTGAGGTTGACCGCGGAATACGTGACAAGCAGGGACAACGTAACGGATGCTCTATCGCGCGGCAACATCGACCGCTTCTGATGTGGTTTCCCAGTGGCATCCACACAGGCGCTGCTCCTGCTGCCGAGCCACCTAGAAGAGAAATTAGTATCGTTGTAAGGCCAGTGATTGCAATGCGAATCATTCCCCCTCACGCACTGGGCGCCGAGGGGTCTGTCGAGCCGCTGCGCCAACTACAACTTACACCATCCACGCTGCGCCCAAATTGCTGCTCAGATGAACGGATCTTCCTTTGGTGCAGGATAAACATGCCTCCGCCCTCCACGATTGAAAATCAGCTTATACGGGCTCTCGCAGACTGGGCATCGAGAGCTTCACTACGTGACATGGCTAACTATGGAGCAGGACTATGCAAATTCCACCTATTCTGCGACGTGTTCTCCATCCCAGAGATTCGTCGGCTACCGGCTTCCTTCGAGCTATTACACTCATTTGCCCTTTGGGCTGTGACTGACCCCGACCCAGCCGACTCGATATTCTTGGATGGGACACCGTTCGAGCCAATATCTGTGAAGGTCGCACAGAAATACCTTTCAGCGGTCCGTGCATGGCACCTGGCTCAGGGCTGGTCCCCACCTCTGTCCGAAGAACATATGACACGCATCAGCTGGTCCCTGCACGGTATGGCAAATCTTCAGCACTCAAAGCGTTCGCGGCCGCCACGACCACCGGTCACCCTAGCGATGCTAGCTGCCTTGAAAGCTGCCCTAGACCTTACCGACCCGTTTGATGCCTGTGTCTGGGCAGCCGCCGACTCATCGTTCTGGGGAATGATGAGGTTCGGCGAAGTATCTGTCAAATCCCGAACGGCGTTCGATGGCTCTTTGCACCTAAAACGAGCAGACGTTTTCTTCAGGCAAGACTTAGCTGGCCAACCGTACGCACAACTAGCCTTACCTTCGGCCAAGACCGCGCAACTGGGGCAAGTCCAGCATGTTTTCCTCAATGCACAGATCAATGTATGCCCCCTCGAAGGGTTACGAAACCTCGCGCAGATCATACCGGTGATAAGCCTCAGGATCGTCTGACCCCCGAAAACGCGGATTCAGCACATCATACAAGCGCCCCGGAGCTTATTCGACACAGCGCTCGCACGCCTCTAGGCTTCTATGGGCTCTAAAAGACTTTTTCTATTTAGCTCCGGACTTCCTAACATCCTCGAGGCGTACACGGACCCATTCCGCGATTTATCTCCGCGAACCGAAGCTCCGGAGTGACCTAACCAATGCGACTTCTAGCTGCATTAGCTCCGGGACCCGCGGACACTTCTATCGAGGGGTGTCTTCCTCATGCCCACCCTCCAGCACTCACTCCCCCTTGTTTCCATCAAAATACGGAAGGTGCAGACATATACGAGTCACCATGAGGCCAGCATCAGTCAGCGAGTGGCCGGAGGTAATTAGCACGTGACCAGCGCGTCGCGCGGAGTGATGGGACCACTTAGGGCAGGTGGCGGAGTGTCGAGGCGACCTCTAGGGGCTGGGACGAGCAAGTGGGAGCGCAAGGGAGTCATATGGTGCATGGTATAACGGCGGCAAGTGCTGAGCAATCCTGTGGGTAGCGGCGTTTATTTGTTATTTATCTCCGGATGGTCGCAAAGCCATTCCTGTCATATAAATTGTACAAAGCAGCGTAGAGAAAAACAAGTTTTGCACTTCACCATCTCAGAGAATTAGCATTACTATCTCAGCGACCCGAGAAGTTCGAAAGCGTCGAACTTAGTGACTTATAACCGATCCTAGCTTTGCCAATAGGCCTGACTCGTCGAGAGAAATATCTCCGCCATTGATTTAACTAGTTCCGGTGAGGTTCACATAGCGAAACAAAATTGAGCAACTCTTTCTAGCGCCTTCTACTCCCGTGAGCCCGGACCTACACTCGGTTCCGTGGTTTGCGACTTTGTTTGCGACTTTCCGGAGATAAATATTCCGGAGCATCCCTTAGTGTTTGTTTCAGGCGTCAAGGTTTTTGTTTTATTTTTCTAGGTCTTCCTATGGACTACCCTACGGCGTCTTACTCCTCCTTTCCCCCTCGAACTATTAAATACCCTTCAGTTGTCTCGGACCGCCTTCACCCATATCACGGGGTTTAGGTTTATTTCTTTTGGTCCTTGGTGATTGTTGTGTGTCAGTGCATATCACCGGCCGGGCCGGAGGACCCGTTATTCTCATGGAGAGACAGATATGGCAACATACGCCCTCTGGTGTGCGACGCAGCACTCAAACGCATCAATGACATTTTCTCCATGCTGGGGTGGGGGACAGCTTTTGGCCACTCCTTCCGGATTGGCGGCGCGTCATTCTTCCTGGCAAAGAAAGTTGACCCAGAAATCATGCGACTCGCCGGGCGCTGGCGATCACTCGCATACGAGACATACATTCGGGCATTCGAACAGATATCCTCTCGCCATCTGGCAAATATGGACCAGGGATCCGTTGCAGCTACGACCATGGTTGGGTGAGCGGCGCGTATGCCTGCCGCGGGTGGTTGCTGCTGCTCCGTATGGGTGAGCGTCAGGCTCTGCACCACGTCCGAACTCGGGCTAACCACCGGGTTCTCACCCAACCTCACAGCTACCTTGAGATCAACCACTGCGAGAGACAAGGCTGGACATAGCTTCCATAACCCATAATCCCCTCTAACCCATAGTTTTTGGCTTCCACCAATTTGGTAGATAGGAAATTGGTACCAAAAACCCATAACTCTCCCATAACCCTTAACCCATACCTTTTTGGGCAGCCAAAACCCATAATTAAATCATATCTCCGGCACATCCGGCAGCATTGTGGCATGGGATATTGGGAAAATATATTCTACTGAGCAAATAAATATATGATGACATGCTGCGTGCACGTCCTGGACACTGAATGCCACGGCATCCGCTGGAAATCCTTAAGTCGGGCCTTGCGAAGCTGAAGAAGCAGGCCAAGGCCTGCAAAGATGCTCTTCAGGCTCATCTGCAGAGAAGAGAGAAAATATCAGCTGAAGAGGAAGATTGGCTTGACAATGCTGGGAATCATGTCGACGAAGATGCCATCATCAACTTGCTCGAGAACGCGTCGGATTACGAGAGAGGCCTCTCAAGCTTAATCCTCAGCAAAAGGGCCTTGTGGACAAACTGAAGGGACTCAGTGAAGGTGTCAGTGAGGCTGTTAAATACAAGAAGCAAAAACGTTGATATGCACAGACACACAACAATCACCAAGGACCAAAAGAAATAAACCTAACACCAGCGGTATGGGTGGAGGTGGTCCGAGACAACTGAGGGGTATTTTAATAGTTCGAGGGGGAAGGAGGAGTAAGACGTCGTAGGGTAGTCCGTAGGAAGACCTAGAAAAATAAGACAAATACTTTGACGCCTAAAAACAAATGCTAGTTGACGCTCCGGAGTATTTATCTCCGAAGAGTCACAATCAAAGTCGCAAGCAATGACACCTGTCGTAGGATCGTGCTCGCAGGGGTAGAGAGACTTGGTTAATTTTATTTCGCTATGTAGGATGCACCGGAGATAATTAAACCGACAGCGGAGATAAATCACTTGACGAGTCAGGCCTATTGGCAAAGCTAGGATCGGTTATAATTCACTAAGTTCGACGCTTTCGATCTTCAAGGGTCGCTGAGATAGTAATGCTAATTCTCTGAGATGGTGAAGTGCAAAACTTGTTTTTCTCTATGCTGCTTTGTACAATTTATATGACAGGAATGGCTTTGCGACCATCCGGAGATAAATAACAAATAAACACCGCTACCCACAGGATTGCTCAGCACTTGCCGCCGTTATACCATGCACCATATGACTCCCTTGCGCTCCCACTTGCTCTTCCCAGCCCCTAGAGGTCGCCTCGACACTCCGCCACCTGCCCTAAGCGGTCCCATCACTCCGCGCGACGCGCTGGTCACGTGCTAATTACCTCCGGCCGCTCACTGACTGATGCTGGCCTCATGGTGACTCGTATATGTCTGCACCTTCGGTATTTTGATGGAAACAAGGGGGAGTGAGTGCTGGAGGGTGGGCATGAGGAAGACACCCCTTGATAGAAGTGTCCGCGGGCCCCGGAGCTAATTCATCTAGAAGTCGCATTGGTTAAGTCACTCCGGAGCTCTTGTTCGCGGAAATAAATCACGGAATGGGTCTGTGTATGCCTCGAGGATGCTAGGAAGTCCGGAGCTAAATAGAACAATTCTTTAGAGCCCATAGAAGCCCAGAGGGGTGTGAGCGCTGTTCCAAATAAGCTCCGGAGGGCTTGTACGATGTGCTGAGTCCACATTTTTAGGGGTCAGATGATCCTGAGGCTTATCACCGGACCACCCGCCTTCGAGTTCAATAGCTTAGGCCATCCCAGGCCAGCACTGGTCAAACCATGTTGGAGCCCCAACCAAATCCTAGGGATGTGTGCGAGGGATGTAAATGCTGACTGACCACATAACATCATTGGTGCACAATGCACATTATATGACACGAGATAGGGAGCCCGGGGCATATCAATGCATGACGGATAATTACAGACTGCAATGGAGACTCACCTTGTATACCTACCCAGAGTGCCTGACGGGTTCGAAGCCAGACAAGGCAGGTGTCACGAAATGGCATAGGAAGAAAATTGCCAACACTCACAATTTGTCCAAGTACCTTTCGCTATCTAGCCATTTCCCAGCCCACGAGACCCCCCCGGCTGCCACAGACCTGTCGGTTGCTTTCAAATGACCACCGAATCCACAACCAGTACCAGATGTACCTGTTTTCAGGCCCGAGGTATGAGAGATGCTTGCCAGCTTGCTTGGAATCATTGTCTACCCTCAAGAACACGCAGCTTTGCGTGCTCGCCATTAGGTATATGCGACCGCTGTGTCAAAGGCCCAGGGAGGAAAGAGATGACTAGTATGAAGAATGTCGAGAAGAACAAGCATTTGAAACTCCGCTACACGTCGCAATGACTTAGGGACACGTAGAGCATGAGCATTGGCAATCACACGCGCACATCGCAGACTTAGGAAATTTTGGGGCTGGGGAATGGATAATTGCTAGGGAATGAAAGGGTAACTAGCGGATTAACCTCATATTCCCCCAGGGCTAAGATCTCAGGAGAATCACCGGGGAATACCTGGAGAATGACCAGGTTGCCTGGACATTACCCAGTCGCATGATTTGCAGGCATTTATACTATAGGCATGGCGAAATAGATCTATAACTGAGTTTGAATGATATAGTTCGGACTTCCAATTGTTATACTGTATTCGGCAGGCGTTCTCACGCATGTGGCACCGCATGCACATGCCATCCTCCAGCCTCCCTACCTTTTCACAACGCGTGCAAGCTTCCTACTGAAGCGATCCCATCCAGAATTGCTTGTAAAATAAGAGAGAGATATTGTTTTTGAGAATTTGAACTGAAAATGCGCTTTTTTGTCGCTTGTGGTGCTATTTCACTCCCAAAATTGGGGCTGAAGAGTTATATCTGTACTGTGAGATCTGGGACACATAGCTAGGTAGAAGTACTATAGATAGGTAAGTGACAAGTGGTTCATTAAGTTTGGGATGCCCAAAGTGAGCGGCACAACAGTGCCGCCGAAAACAATATTAATATGATTTTGACTTCCAGGTTGCTTAATTTCTTGCAATTTACATGAGCAGTGGGATACGCATAGAGGCGTCCATTCAAACTTTAAATACCACCATGTTTTGCCTGAAGCTATCCAGAGAGTTAATATGGCGCGCAGCGCCGCGAAGCAAAATTCATGTGCTGTGGAAACCAAAGAAACTAGCCTCGAGGGATATTCAAAGCCACGGGAGATCCCTGAATATAGCACTAGTATACCCTTCCAATAATATACCCCTTCTGAAGCTCACGGGGCCCAAACGGAGTGTCTTTCCCTTCTCTTTCTCTCTCTCCTTCGATTTAATTTCTTTAATTGATCTAAAAGTCCACACCTATAGTACAGATCACGTGATGTCAATGAGTTTGAGTGTCGCCTATCTTACCATGGGGGTGGGCAAGTCTGCATCCAAAAGCGTATTGTTTGTACATGTTTGCTCCAGGCCGAAACACGGTTTTGAGATGACCGACCACGAGCAAACACGTTTCCACCCCAAAGACTGCCCTGTACGGCAGATTTAAGTCACAAACCACTGTGAAATGTTGGTGGGCTGGGGATGTTTAACTCCAATAGAAGATAACACGGCAATAAATACGAAAAAAGTCAAAATTTATGCTACTAAAATTCTGAGCTGAAC